CCGGCCACAAGGTCTATTTATAGACCCACCAAAGAATCCAACCGTTTTGCATGTTGGTATTTGTTAACGCAAATAGATAAATCTATAAGCATACAGATACCGTTGTAGCTTTCACCTAGGAGTATTCTAGGGTATCGTATTTATCCATAGGGAAGCAATGGTTAAAGACAGTGATACTTAACCATCATGTATCTACTAACTATTATTCTGACTAGACTAATGTGGGGGTAAATGACAAAATAGGAGTTTTGGATAGTGACACACACACATGAGAATTCCATAGTAAGATAAAAGAGTAGAAAGCTAAGTGAGAGGACAACAGATGAGTTCAAGGTTCCTATATACTTCTCTATTACTATGGTTCCATTCTAGAGCAGACTAGAGGGATTAACTAAGCAATGGGTAAAACATAGTGATCATACCATAACACTTTGGAGCAGCAGTACCTTTTCTAATCCTCGAGGGGGGTGAGAAAACATGGTCGGAGGAAGGTTGCCAAAAGCACTATGAACACCAATCCGAACATGGTGGATTACAAAGGCCTGACAGAACTATCACCTTTGGGGCTACCACAACTATCCATGGAATTGGACGCAAGCTCAGGTAACCTATAGTTTAGACACCACGTCTATAGTATCAATTACTACTGTCTCACGTAAATATGACAATGGGGTCCTGATCCCCGATTCTCCGCGGGGAATTCCCCTATTAGGGGACGAAGACGGAGACGAGTCCAATTTCTCTCCCATGGGGATCCAAATGGTAGGAAAAACAATCCCCGTCGGGGCTAGCGGGGACAGGGGATGGGGACCCATCCCCCAAACCCGATCTTGTAAACCCGCCCCGCTTAGAGCATATAGTGTCGTAGGCTTCAGGTCCGTTCAAATCAGCCCACGAAGGCCTAGCAGCAGTTCAAGTATATATACAAAATCTAACCCTAATCCCTCAACTTCCCAGCCTCCTCGCCCACCACTCAACCACTCCCACAGCAGCCAAAGCACCAGGTGCACCGCCACCAGCAGTTCGACTTATTCGCGTCGTGCTGAGCGCCACCGTGCGTCTATGCCGGCCATCTCCCCACGCCCTCCCTTGCTCGTGGCACACTCGGTGCTCCTAGTGGCCTAGCGAAACCATGGCCACGACCCAGATGCAGGAGACTAGCCACACAAGCAGGTGGCGTCTATAGTCTACTGCTCGGTGCCTCAATCTGTAGGAAAGATGGATCTAGCGTATCCTATTTCTCATCTTGATAGTGGGCAGCAGCAGGTGGCTCTTGTCATCTTGTGTCTACTTTTCAGCCTGACACAAGCATGAGTGGATTTAATTGATTTGTGAGATCTTGTTTACAAATTCTTTGAAAATTTTGTAAGCAAGGGGGACATGGTCTCTAAACTAAGCATCTTACTCTGTATTATTTCTTGTTGCAAGATGCGTTTTGTGATTGAAATTCCTTCTTCTGTATAATTGATTCGAGTACTATGGATCTTTGTATATCGGGGACGGGGACCCTATCGGGTATGTTTCCTCGCTCGGGTTCAGGGATGGGGAGAGATCGTCCCCCGCGAGGCTTGGCAGGGACGGGGATGGGGAAATTTCTCTGCGAGGATGGAGATGGAGATGCAATACCCAACGGGGAATTCCCTGTTGCCATCTTTAGTCTCACGTGATAACTAGAGCACTCGATACGAGCGGAGATCCCGTTCTAAGGTATGATTCAACTATACTAACCATACTTAGCTAAACACTGAAGGTATGAACTACATAACCATGCAAAACATTTAAGTAGATAAAGAAGATAACTATATTGAGCATGAGTCTTACAAAGGAAAGATGCAAGGACATATCAAATCTCAGAGGACTCCTCCGAAACCTAAGCATGGCTCACTCATTCTAACTCGTAACAAAGCTATTCTACTTCTACATCTTGGAAATGGTGGATTTTGCTCCCTTGTGGTGGCGTGTGTTAGTGAGGGGGCCTCTCCCTCCTATTTATACTACTCCTATGGTCGGTTGTAGGGGAATATTCTCCGAGATGCGCATGCAACCGATGTGGGGGAGCGACGAGGGAGCGCCATGTGGCGGGCCAAGGTGGGCGGGGCGTCTAGGGGGTCGGCTGACCCCAGGTAGCGCCTCGCCGCGACCGTCTTTGTCGTGTCGGTTGAGCATTGGGCCTAGGCCGCGCCTACGTGTTCTTGGGCCCAATTTGGTTTGGTAGGTGGGCCTTTCCCCCTTGTGCTTGCGCTAGATAGCTTTATGCTTTGTGTCTTTGTGCATTTCGAGCACGTTTTTGGTGGTTTTCATAAATGTCCTCCTGCAGATGATAAATCACCAAAACTCATGGAATTTATTAGTCATAGGCCCTAATTCTAAGTTTGGTGTTCATTTGAGTGGATTTTAGGTGAAAGTTGGCGGTTAAAAATAGGAGTTAAGGACCACCAACGATACACAAGTGGGGCTGGCTGCGGGAGCACCGGATACCTGAGGAGGCACTGGATACCCCTCACTGGATATGTCAGGTGCCCTCAACGACTCTTTTTCAATGTTCAAAAATCTAACCGTTAGGCGCCATCAGAGATCCGGTGCTACCACCGGACACGTACGGTGCATGTTAGCGTTTTGTGCCCCGAAAACATGCTCTCTGTGTGCCCAATCCGGTGAGACACATCTGGTGCTCACCGAACATGATAGGTGCTTAGTGCGCGGGGGAGACGAAGTTTACAACCTCTCTGAGTGCCCCGTCCGGTGCACACAAGATCGCTCGGTGCTCGGCTGCAGTGAACATGAACGCATCGGATCCCAGCCGTATTCGGTGTGTGGTGACCGGTGCGCCCCCAGACACATCCGGTGCACACGAAACAGCACCGCTGTGAACTTCCAAGCACCACCTTTCAATTGTGACAACTCTCGAATATTTTCACAAACATATTTAGAGCAAGTTAACATTTCCAAAAGTGTTTTTCGTAAACTTTTGCGCTTGCTCTTCAAGCGTGTCACTAGACCTAAATGTAATTCAAAGAATTCCAACACCTAGGCCCTGTTCGCTTCTCTTATAATCCGTCTTTTTCAGCTTATTTTTTCAGCGGGAACAATGTTTTTTTCTCACAACAAATCAGCCGGAACAGTGTTTTGGCTTGTTTTTTCAGCGAAGCGAACGGGACCCTAGTAGCACTAGATGACCGAGTTGTCCAATAAGAGCTCCCCTCTTACTAGTATGACCATCTATCATAAATTCGATCACGCACTCTATTGCGTTTTGACCGGCAAAACAAAATCTCTATTTGTACCTTTGCCTTGAGCTCAACAGGGTTTTATTTTTCTCTTTCTTCTGTTTCAAATTTGAGCACTTGATCATCTTCAATTGTGTCCATCACAATCTCCACCATGGTTGCCATCTCTTGTTCAACTTGGACGTGAACCAACCTATCTCAATCACAACACTAGAGTAGATGGTTAGTTCACCCTGATTGTCTCAATTACCAAAACCGAACATAGGGCTTTCACTAGGCTCATCACTGTCCCCAGCTAACTCCTGAACCACAATGCCCCTGATCTACCTGTCCATAGGATCATGTACATAGGCCATGTTCGCTTCTCTTATGAGCCGTACTGTTTCAGCGAAGGAATAGTGTTTTTCTCTCACGATAAATCAGCGAATAATACTTTCAGCCATAGCTTTTCAGCGAAGCGAATAGTGCCATACTTGGACCTCTTCTTTGCTCTCTGGCTCAGATCTCCCTCCATCTATCGATAAAAAACACATATAATAGATAGGGGTAAAAACACATGGGTAAAGTCGTCATTTTGTCCAAAAGTTAACACCGTTATGGGTACTTCACAGAATAGGGGTAAAGTCTCCCTTTGTTTTGAGATCGTAGGGTAAAATCACAAAGTTAAAAAAAATAAGAATAAAATCACCATTTCACTCGAAAATAGGAGTAAAAACGTTTAAGCTCTAATTAAAAAAACCTCATGTTCACACTTAAAATTTAGGCAAAATTGACCAAAACTTTATTGAGATGAGTCATTATGAGATCGAGCTACTTTGCGTAGACAGGTGCAGCTAGATTTAAATGTGGGACCCACGTTAAAAGCTGGATCGTAAAATTAAAACCTCACATTCACATCTTAAAATTTTTGAAAAAATGACTAAAATTAGTTGGAAATGACTCGTTGTAGCAATAGCAACATTGTGCAGATTATTGCAAGAATATCAACATGTGTCTCACGTACTTTGTATTATCTAACCCACCAATTTATACTAATAAATGATTAATTGAGCTAAAGGCTTATCCACTAATAATGTACTCCCCATACTCTGCCCTCCTCATCTGCTTGTTTTGATGTTATCGTATTCACCTTAATTTATATGTATTTGGTGTATTGAAGTGGAACTTGAATTAAATTACACCACAATTCACACCAACATATGTGGATTGAGGTGAATATGACAACATCCAAATAAGGCTTTATTTGTATGCATATGTATTCATCTCAATCCACATGTGTTGAAGTGGAATTAAATTAAGTTATATTCTAATCCACTCCAACACATATGGATTGAAGTAGATACACATATATCAAATAAGGTCTAAGGCCTAAGAGTTTGTTTGGCTGCATATAAATTCACTTCAATTCACGTGGCTTCGGAGGGATTGAGTTAGAATTTAAGGCTTGTCTGGATGTTGTCGTATTAATATTAATCTACATGTGTTAATGTAGATCAATCCACCCCGCAAACGTGGATTTAGTTGAATACGGTAGCATCCGAACAAAGCGTAAGGTGGGTAAGGGTTTGAATAAGGGTATATTGGATAATCCGCTCATCGTCGCCACCGCTTGGTCTCGCTCTCGCCGCATTCGTCTTCCCCGCCCGTCCCCTGATCTCAGATCCATACCAAACGAAATCCACACTAAACCCCCCCCCGCCCCAGGCTGAGCACGCATGAAACCCTAGTGACCCCGTCCAGATCTCCGCGTCCGGATCACTGCGCGGCGCCGCCATGGCGACCCCCGCGCTGGACTCCCTCCCGGCGCCGCTCCGGTCGCTGCGGCTCAAGACGAAGCAGCAGGAGCTCCTGCTCCGCGTCTCGGCGCTGGCGCTCATCTACATGCTCGCCTTCGCCGTCCGCCTCTTCTCCGTCCTCCGCTACGAGTCCATGATCCACGAGTTCGACCCCTACTTCAACTACCGCACCACGCTCTTCCTCACCGAGAACGGCTTCAGCGAGTTCTGGAACTGGTTCGACTCCGAGAGCTGGTACCCGCTCGGGCGCGTCGTCGGTGGGACGCTCTTCCCGGGTCTCATGGTGACCGCCGCGTTGCTCCATCGCCTCCTCCGCGCGCTCTCCCTCGCCGTCCACATCCGCGAGGTCTGCGTCCTCACCGCGCCCTTCTTCGCCGCCAACACCACTCTCGTCGCCTACGCCTTCGGCCGCGAGATCTGGGACTCCGGGGCGGGGCTCTTCGCCGCAGCGCTCATCGCCATCGTCCCTGGCTACATCTCCCGCTCCGTCGCGGGGTCCTACGATAACGAGGGCGTCGCCATCTTCGCCCTGCTGCTCACCTTCTATCTCTTCGTGCGCGCCGTCAACACGGGGTCGCTCGCCTGGGCGCTCGCCTCGGCGTTCGGCTACTTCTACATGGTGTCGGCATGGGGAGGCTACGTGTTCATCATCAATCTCCTCCCGCTCTATGTGCTTGTGCTGCTTGTCACTGGGAGGTATTCACAGAGGCTCTACGTGGCCTACAATTGCATGTATGTGCTTGGGATGTTGCTTGCGATGCAGATCCGTTTCGTTGGATTCCAGCATGTGCAGTCCGGGGAGCACATGGCTGCTATGGGAGTCTTCTTCCTCTTGCAGGTAATTTTCATTTGCACTCTTATGGCATGGGCTGATGCAATTTGGAAACTGAGACCAAATGAGCACCCCTTTGAAGACTATATATAACTGATTTAGTAGATAGATTGTTATAAGAATGCTGGAGTGGTTTGATGGCTGACATATTAGAACCTGTGTCCTATCTTCCGTTACCCGTGCCGGCGAGTGGTGTTTGGCGTGTGCCCAATAAATCTGCCGAAGTGTATACTCGTGATCTATTCATACACTTGCACCCGTGCTAGTGTCCATGTAACACTAGATTAGAATAGTCAAACTTAACTTAAATGGGTGAGGTCAAATTAAATGCTACATTAGTTGCTTAAGTCTGAGCTGGCTGCAGCATGCATCAGAAATCATTGATTTGGGAAAATTCATATTGATACCCAAATACCTGACAACTTTATCAGATACCCAAATGCCTGACAACATTATCAGATTCTGCTGCATTGTACGCAGCCTTTAGATATTGTTGTTAATTATCTTTCTTTCATTTACCATATACAACTGTTGATTCTGTATCGGGTTAGTAAAGGTAAAATGGGTAATACGTGACTATTTAAGATGCCATCCATCCCACTAGTGCTGTGATGCTTATTGCCTATATTTATTCAACACTAGCAAAAGTGTAGTGCCATCCTGAATTGTTGATACTAGGTTTGCTGCCTATATCATCTGTTTTAGTTGAAGGTCTTCCTGTAGTTTTGGACAAGCATGTATAAATAAGGGCTAAAACAATCCTTTCTTTTATCAGGTTTTCTTCTTCTTGGACTGGGTGAAATACCTGCTAAATGATGCCAGACTATTCAAGTCATTCCTTCGAATTACTCTTACATGTGTGATTACTGTTGGCACCCTGGCTCTTGGAATTGGTACTGCATCTGGTTACATCTCCCCTTGGACAGGACGGTTTTACTCCCTGCTTGATCCTACCTATGCAAAGGACCATATACCAATCATTGCGTCTGTTTCTGAGCATCAGCCAACAGCATGGTCATCTTTCATGTTTGACTTCCACATCCTCCTTTTCCTGTTCCCAGCTGGCCTTTATTTCTGTTTCAAGCGCCTGTCAGATGCCACGATATTTATTGTTATGTATGGCCTCACGAGTATGTACTTTGCTGGTGTGATGGTCCGGTTAATTCTTGTGGCAGCACCAGCCGTTTGTCTTATTAGTGCTATTGCTGCATCTGCTACAATAAAGAATCTGACCACTTTGATCCGGACAAAGAGCAGAAGTCCACAGACCACTTCTGGAAAAACAACTGGCTCAAAGGCAGCTGCAAAGGTATATATTTTTTTTCCTATTTTCTTTCTCTCAGAGCTATTTTTTACGATATAGTGAGCAGCAAAGCCTTTTAAGGTTGAAATAAAACAAAGCCTTGCAAATCTTAGTCAAGGTGCACTTGATTGCTTTTACAATTTCCTTTAGGCATTTTACCTCCTAGAAAAAGATGGAAAGCTCTAATATATAATTTCATATACGGATGAAATTTATGGATCTAAAAAAGGGTCACTGTTTTCCCAGGTTTTCTCCAGAGCCCTTGTTAGAAATGGCTGTTGTTTTAAGGGATGGATGTACTTTATTTAGGATTTGCAAAGCTGTATAAATATTTTCCCAGGATAAAAAATGTTTTAGTTTACTTCTATTACCGTTGACACAACATACATTTGTTTTTTTCCCGATGTAATTTACTGAAGAATTGTATTTATGTTAGAAATTTATTAGCTTTAACTTCACTCTGTAACTAATATGGGCTCTTATGTAAACAGGGAGCAGTTGATCAAACTTTACCATTCCAACACAATGCAGCTATTGCTCTTCTTCTGGGTGCCTTTTACTTGCTCAGTAGGTATGCCATACACTGCACGTGGGTGACATCTGAGGCTTACTCTTCTCCATCTATAGTTTTGGCCGCAAGGGGTCATAATGGTGGAAGAGTCATCTTTGATGATTATCGTGAGGCATACTATTGGCTTCGTCAGAACACTCCTCCTGATGCTAAGATTATGTCTTGGTGGGACTATGGATACCAAATTACAGCTATGGGTAACAGAACTGTCATTGTTGATAACAATACATGGAATAACACACACATAGCTACAGTTGGACGTGCTATGTCATCTTACGAAGATGAAGCATATGAGATCATGCAATCACTTGATGTGAACTACGTGCTTGTTGTATTTGGAGGTGTTACTGGATATTCTTCAGATGATATCAACAAGTAAGATTGTCTACTTAATTATGATGCGGTTTTCACTGCCTTTTATTTAATGTGTGAAGTGAACCAAAAACATTTTATCTTGCTATTTGTTTTATGAAGAACACTTGGTCTTACTTAGCTGCTCTTTTCAAGGTTCTTATGGATGGTACGTATTGGTGGAGGAGTTTTTCCTGTAATCAAAGAGCCAGATTACCTTGTTAATGGGGAGTATCGGATTGACAAGGGGGCAGCACCAAAAATGCTGAACTGCCTAATGTAAGTTTCCAATACATTGACAAGCCTTTTTTTTTGTGTGTTACTGTTTTCATTTGTCGCTCCGTTTTTTCCCCCCAAAACCTATATGTGAAACTTAAAAACCTTTTACATTGTGAAGCCTCTCACACTCCCTCCCCTCCCTCTGGAACTGCCATGTGTAACATTTTCTATGAGACAAATTCCTTCCTGATGAATATTGGATAAAAGTTTATCGTTTGAAACAATTTGTTTGATCTATTTTACTACATACACTGCTTGCCTGCGGTTTAATAAATATATAACTTAACCGAGGTGCTTTATTTGTGCTTCACTCACTACCTGGTATTAAGGTACAGCTGTAGTATCAACAGAGTTGCCAAAGTTTGTTAATGCGCAGATCTTTCAACCTTTGAATATAAGGAAATTATGTTTGATCTGATGTTTGTAGATGCATGGTACTCCACCTTTAGTTGTTCAAATGGACTGTTTTAGTTTTATTATTACTACCCATACATGCATGATTATTATAATTGCCCAAGAGTATTAGTGAAAGCTGCCTTTTTAGCTATTTACAGAGAGGATTCCTCTGGAAATATTCATGTTTAGCACAGATTTGGAAAAACAACATTTGTGTTGTGAGATAAGACAGCATCTTTCGAAATATGTGCTACTTTGTCTAACCTTTCCTGTGCCTTATCTCATACTATGTTTGGCAGGTACAAGCTTTGTTACTACCGATTTGGAGAACTTACCACTGAATATGGAAAGCCTCCAGGGTATGGCACATCTTTACCATTGTTTCTGAGCATTTGTGTTTCTTGACAAGTTCAAGGTTGTCTTATATTTTTGGTTTAAAATGAAGATGCCAATGTTTTTTTTTTTTGTGTTTCAGAAATAGTTGTTTATACTTCATCATCCTTTTAGGGTTGTTTTTTTGGTCATATAAGCTAGAAAGTATGCTTGCGTGTTATAGGCTGCATATTGATGGCAGTATTCCTTTTTCTTTTCAATGCAGGTATGATCGTGTACGGGGAGTGGAGATTGGCAACAAAGATATAAAACTTGAATACTTGGAGGAGGCATTTACAACTTCAAACTGGATAGTGCGCATATACAAGGTGAAACCCCCAAAGAACAGGTCCTGAGGCATCTTCGCTAGTGAAGTGGTTAGAGCTATTACCTCAGACAAGTACATTATTGTCAAAAATCTGAGTGGCTACAGGAGACGGCGGGGTGGTTGTTATTGACACCTGCTTTGGCGAGACTGACTATAGTAGCCATAGCATCAGTTCATCTCAAAAGTCAAGAACATCTTTCCCCTTATTTGGTTTAGGTGATCGGTTTCAGAAGAACCAATTGTGACAACAGCGAGTACTTTTTGATTGTTAAGCATGTCATGACCGAACTTTGAAAGTTTTTGTAGGCGCAATGACATATTTGAGTAGAAAACTTGTCTTTGATCAATGCATGGCAAGGTAAATTTTCCAGCACTGAACACAAAATATGAACTGTTGGTTCTGTTCTCTCTATTATGTGTTTACATCATCCAATGTAGGCGCATAGAGCAGTTTTTATGCTGTCTATCTTCATATATCTGTTTGTTAGCAGAAAGTGTTTGTCACGTGGATGCATCGCGGCCTCAGAGGCAGCTTGAACATCGCCCACAATTCTTGCTCGTCAGTTCAATAGCAAGAACGCCCATATTTCTCCTGTCTCGACTCCAATGCTTACCTTCGCATTTTAGACGTTAAATCAGATTCCAGATTTTGATGCAAGCTCAAATCAGCTCCTTATGAGCATTCTATTCGCATTTTAGACGTTAATTGAGATTCCAGATCTTGACGCAAGGTCAAATCTAGCTCTGTTCGGCGTGACTTATTTGAGAGAAAAATATTGTTCTGTTACAAAAATAGGGCCGGCTCTAAGCGAACATAGCAGTATGTTTCCAGAATCAAAGAATATTGTGTCACTGCTCCTGTACGCCGTGCACGAGAACAGTCAGCCTTCCGATTTGAGCTAGGCCTAGGCTGTACTGCCTCTATCCCAAAAAATATGCAATTCTACCTCAGTCAAACTTTGAACTAAAGTTTTATCAAATTTAACTTTCTAAAATTAGATCAAATTTATAAAAAGAGTATCAATATTTATAATATAATATATATATGCAACAAAAATATATCTCATAACGAATCTAATAACACTTATTTAACAATTTAACATCATAAATATTGATTTCTTTCTACGTAAACTTGGTCAATCTCAAAATGATTTGACTTGGTAATATGTTAGAATTGTAATTTCTTTGGAGGGAGGGAGACAAGCGTATCGGCATCAGGCCATCAGCTACTAATTAATTCTACAAAACAGCCAGGCACCTATATTTATGCAGGATTACATTTGTATGTACACTATTCTGTATATATATACACACACGGATTCGACAAGTATCTTCATTTCCAAATGTTCTCTTCCCTTCTTCCAAGTACCTGAATCACACCGGCAATGGCTGCGCCGATGATGAACCAAGTCACCCCGGCCAGCACGGCCTTCATTTCAAAGCTGTTGACGACTACAAGAGCAATGGGGCCGCCAACATGCTCCTGAATGCCGCTGCCACCTCCGGCCACCCCCTCCCCGTTGTAACCCACGAACCCCGCCGCGACGATCCCCAAAAGCAGCGGCGCCATCAGGTCGATGCTTATGCCCTTCCTCCCGGCGCCGGCGGCCGTTTCACCGGCTGCTCCTCGCCTGCGGCCGTGGCCTTGGGGAGTGGGAGTGTCCCTTCCCCTCTGGCGAATGCTCGGCGGAAGAGCTACCGACGGCAGGTTCAGCTGCGGGGTCCAGTAGTCGTCGCGCCGGGCGTGTGCCGTGGCCGCGCCTTCCGTTTTGCGCCGGGCAGCGGCGGCTTCTTGGAGCCTCTCCGTCACGGGGTCAGCGGGTGCCGATGCCGCCGCCGCCGCCGCCGGCGGCGGCAGGAGGCGCGAAGCGCGGACAATGGTGGCCGGGGCCGATGCCCCGAACCCTAATGGCCGCCAGTACCACCAGTTCGACATGGATCTGATGGTATGAACTGCTGACGTCCTCGACTGCCGTGCCGCCTCTGGCTCCTGCGCGCAGCGTTCGGATTTCTCGTTTCAGTTTCAGACGAGTTCAACGGAGAAGACTAGTAGCGTGCTGGACACGGACGGGATCAGGCATCAATCACCTGGGATTCTCTGGTCGCAGATTTCTGCTTCATCTCGAAGAATCTTTTCTGGAACTTGGCGACTTCGTTGAAGACGTTGGGCGCGCGCGCTCCCACGGCGTTTCCTTCGGAGACGCGGACTCTGCCGCGCGGCTGCTTGGACATCAAGAACTCGAGAGCCGCCAGGTCCGACCTCTCCACCATCCTGCACGGATGAGAAACCGTTGGGAATCGGAAGATCGATCGATGATGGATGGGCATGGCCGCATGGGCGAAGAATGGATTACGTACGAGATGCAGTCGACGGGGCAGGTGTTGATGGCGTCGACGATCCTGTCCTCGTCGTCGGCCCACTGCGCGACGGCGCGGGCGCGGCCGTACACGGACTCGACGGCGAAGGTCCGGGACGCGTGGAGCGCGCACTTGAGGCAGCCGACGCAGCGCACCTCGTCGACGAACACGGCCCGGCGCTCGGACTCGGGGCCGAGCCAGGAGGAGTAGAGCGGGCGGCCCGTGTAGCCAGCGAACTCGGAGCGGCGCGCCTGCTCCTGGTCGTAGGCGAGGCGCGCGGCCGGGTCGGAGAGCAGCGCGTACACCTCGTTGAGGATGACGGCCATGTCGTGGCCGCCCGCGGCGCCGGCCACATCCGGGTGGCACCGCTTCTGCAGCGACCGGTACGCCGCCTTGATCTCCGACTGCGGCGATGACCGCTCCACGCCCAGCAGCTCGTACAAGTCGTAGTCCGACACCCACGAGCCGCGGACGCCCCCCGGCCTGTAGCCGCTGTCGCCGCCGTTGGTGCCGCTGCCGGATGCTTCGGCTCGGCACCTGTGGCTGTGGCGCGCACTTGCTCGCCGTGCCGTGGCGGGCCGCGAGGAGCGTAGCCTTGGGGCGGCAGGGGAGACCGAGACGGTGTTGACGAGAAGCGCGGGCATGGCTGATCCACGGCCACTTGCGTTGCGTTGGTCGCCTACTCGCCTGGCAGTGGCAACAGATAACTGAACGGTGGCAGGGGATGCGGGAAGAGCCGAGGAGGAAGCTCTGGAGCTGGGAGTCCGGGACTGTCACTGCGACCATTACTTTTCTGCAGATATTTCAGCTTGTTGCTTTTGTACCTTTCGCCCTCTTTTTTCGCCACGTATGTGTATGTAGAGTTGGCATGGGAGATATTTTTAGAAAAGAGTTTGTGAGGATGGAAGAAAACTAGCAGTGGTAGCTTCAGATAACGTGCCTCGTGCCAGAACAAACATTTCGAGCCTTTCAAGTGGGAAAATGATTTTGTAAAAGAATATGTATACTGCGGCGCATCGTGCATATTACACCCCCTATCGAACTACAAAATGGCGGCCTCAACTGTTTCAATCCTGCCGGTTCATGACAGAGGATCGAAGGCGGGACGGGTCGATGCTAGGTTTTTTTTTAATCTAGTCAACTACCGGTTGTTTTAGCTCCTCTTAATAACTAGATTTTTTTCATATATTTACACTGTTTTATAGCTATATTTATAATGATTTCTTCAACATGATTTATTTGATAGAGTGATGTAATTTAGGAATAACACAAATATATATCAAATTTTTTAGAAAAAATTACAGATAATCTCTATTGATTTCGGACATCAGACAAATATATGTGGGTTAACAAATGATCGATTTCTGTGCTCGGGCCCGACTCCCGGGTCCCCGTCCCCGACCTGACCCAGAAGAGCAGGAGAGGGAGGAGAGAGACGGGCGCGGCGAGGAGGCCAGCGGCGCCCTGGACGAGCTGCTCTGCTGCCTCTGCAAGTTCACCACGCTGCTCAACCCCTACGCCACCACGGAGGAGACGCTCTTCACCTTCAGCAACGAGCTCAAGCCACGGATGGCCACGCTCGCGCTCTTCAACATCGCCAATCGCTTCGTCGAATCCGTGCGCGGCGCCTGGAAGAACGTCGTCGACTGCCTGCTCAAGCTCAAGCGGCTGCCGTCGCTGATCGACGGATGGCAGCGGCGCCCCCGGCGGCGCCTGCGATGAAACCGCGCAGATGGGATAGGACCACGCGTGCTGCCGTGCTGTCGATCCCAGCCGCTAGCGAGCACGATCAAACCTGCGGCTGTTAGTTAGCAATTCTGTTTTTTATATATTTCATTCATTTTAAATATAAACCGTTTTGATTTTTCTAGATACGAGGACAGAGACTAAACATTGCCTACTATTTTTATTGCTTTCCTTATTTTCTATCCAGTTTTGTAGTCTTAAGGCTTCCATAATGTTTTCCATCAAATTGTTTGAATAAAACTAGTTCAATTTACATCCACCAAATCATTTGAATGGTCAAGACACTGAAAAAATCATCATTGTTTTATAGCTCTAGACATCAGAGAGCTTTTGATGCCCAAGGCCTTGCTGATATTTTGAGGAAGACCTGGATGATTGTGAATCTTTGCCTTGACGTCTTCATGTACTCAGTAGTAAGCGAGAACCATATCGGTCAACGTACACACATGATGCAGCAGTGACCAACCTTCAGCCATCGTCTGGTATTAGTGTATTACTTTACTGAATGAAAAATCTCATTTGATCCATCTTTGATACTTTGGTTGATTCCAGAACTCCAAGATCTCCATAACTGCACGGAGTTCATTAGCATGTTCGTTTCGGCTTATTCGTTCGTATCTGACTTATAATCCACGACTTAAACAGTGTTTTTCTCTCATACCAAACAAGCCAGCAGACCTTTCAGCCATGACTTATAAGCCAATTTAGCCGAAACGAACGGGCTGTATTTGGGTTCAACTGTTCAAGCGCTGGTAGCCGCATGCCTTTTGGATATCCAAAATTCCTTCCAAAAGTGTGCCCGCGAAACAAACCAAGGGGAGAGAGAAAGCAGCTAAAGTTAGATTCACACGCTACAACAACCGAACCGTAGGAAAAGTTTTGTTTTTTTTTTGTTCGACGAGAGTTTTTGGTTCGGCTCGAGAAAAAAGAATACTAATTTTGCGCATGCAGAAGATTGAACCATTACCCACATGTGCTCTGGCCTCTGCTTGATATATTTATTTGATGTGGGTCCTTGCCCTCAGTTTGATTTTCTGGGTCTGATGATCCATCGATGAAGTATGATGTCAGCAGGTTCTCAAGCTTGGGAATCCTGTAATCTGGCTAGCTAAAGCCACAGTACTAAAATTCGGAGATAGCAGATAAGTCTAACTGGTATTGCTGGGTCCCAGTGATATGGCTAGTACTAACTGGGCAAGGCTTGGCTTAGTTTGGCACGGGCGGGGGAATGGGGGTTGGGGGGGGGAGAGGGTATGAGAGGAAGTTGGCTGGGAGGGGTTTATCCGTTTATGTAATAAAATGTCATTTAGGCAGCCATGGCCTCTCCTTATTGATTGAAAACTCCCTTGAATATCTATTAAGCTGGTGGTTAAAATTAATAATATGCATATTAAGTAAGAAATTAGTGCTGATGGCCCCCTCTTGTTTTCCCATCAAGCTCCGCCACTGAGCAGGAGAGCCTTTTCCAGACTTATAATGTACTTAAATTTTGTTAATCTTTTCTGTCTTGTTCAACTTAACAAAATTTCTTAAAAGTTTTATTAAATATCTTGGAAAATGCACCTGTTTAAGTTTTTTTTTCATGAATGATAGCACTTTTATTCTTCTATATCCCCAATTTTGGGAAGCCTTAGGACAGTTTTTCAATATTTTCCAGAAATTGCAGTTAGTGAACACTGGAGAATTCTAACTTTTTTTCTTAGTGTCTTTGTCGATCTGTGCACTATGACCTGGAACCACGGATGATGTTGATGTTTCAACTTTCAAGCGCAGTACATCATATTCATTCACCAAATGTTGCTATATGTGAACATAGGCTATTTCTGTATAACTGATTGTACATTTGAAAAATGTTTACCTTCTATTTCTTAGGGTGGCTCTGGCTGGGTGCAGGGTGCAGGGTTCTGGTTTGAGAAATGTTTCTGATTCGGTTTCCCATAGGAAAAGTTTCTTTGGTGAATCTGAATCACATGTAAAATCGTTTGGCTCACTGACCGGATTCTTTTTGTTAAAAGAAAGATTGATGGTTGAATTGTACAATGTGCCCCTGTCTGTATATGCAGATTTAGTAAAATAAATGTAATTTTTTATGCAATAAATAATAACATCATAAACTCTACATAACAATAGACTAGAAATATATATACCAAAAATAATCAGCGACGTCAAGAGGCAGGGAGGAGTGATGTAGCTGAATTGGGCTGTTCTGTAGCTGAAGGGAAGTTGTTTGACCAATGACACAGCAATGTATTTAGCTGGGAAGTACATGGGGGAGAGGAGAAGGAACCTTTTCTTGTGTGAAAAACAGCTTTCTGCCCGTTTCTTGCTCCTAGTTAGAAAACATGAAACGTTTCAAGAAATTATGTTTCGAATCGCTCACTGGTTATCTTGTTTAGGAAGTGGTTTATAGAGAAAACAGGTTGGAGAATCCCTGCCAAATGCCCACTAAGCTTGACAGTTCCATTAGGTTTTTCCAGTTTTTGAAGTGGTTTTGGTGTGAACTGAGCAATAGATCAGTTGTGTCAAAACCTTCCTAAAGGATTTGGTACTCCTCTCTCTCAATACAGCCATGGGGATGTCTTTTCCCCCATGGTTGAGTTATTTTTAAGGTGTTCAGGTGCCGTGTTGCCCTGTTCGTCAAAATGTGTTTAATCTACAACTCAAACTGACCACATGATTCATAATATCGTTTATGTATTATGCACCACATCATTCATAATTTCATCTATGTATTGTTATGCATAAGGCATCAGTCAAATCTGGCAGGTCTGTGTAACAATATACATGAATATGTATGTTATTTTGTACCAGAGTGCAGTGTGCATTCTGGTTCTTAATTAATGTTAGTGAATTGCTATTCATTTCCAAGTGGAGTCTGAACCATCATTGTGAACTTAAGTCATACCAGTAAATGTTACTCTTTAACAAGAGTGCTTTTTTCAACACACAACTAGCACAAATTAACTGGGTTGCTCTTTACAGATGAAGGGTGCTCTTCGTAGAACAAAGAAGCAAAAAGATTGACTCATTTCCTCGTCATATTTAATTGGCTGTCTGATTCTCAGAGTTAATTTGTAAAGTCGTCCAGATAATTAATGTTTGAATTCTGCAAGAAGATATAACTACATATTATTTCTATTGTTTTTTTTTGGGAGTGACATGAGTACTGACATATACTTCATTCGTGGATTTGTTTATCATATTGTGCAGGTTAGGAAAAAGTTGATGAATCTGGGGCATGCACAGAGGTACTTAATGATTTACTAATCTGTTAGTATTTGTAAAACAAAATAAATGGACTACCATCTATGTGTTTAAATAGAATGTTTTAAAATACTTGGTTTGACAATTTCCTGAAACTACATCAAACATACTGGTGGGTGCATCCCTAGTAACTGGTGCTTGTACTTATTACAGCGAGGAGACAAAAGTAAAGATATCAGAGGGGGTGAGGCGAGGTTGGAGTTTGCGTCTACAGAGATTAATGGTCCAGGATGGTTGCTTTGTGGAGTGGAGAGACATGGTAGCTGATGCAGCTAGAAAGGGCTTTGCTGGTGGAGTTTCCCTCGAATGGAATTCATATAAAATCTTGAGTGAGCAAATGCGGCATGAGTGGTTGGAGAATCTCCAGAAAAGGCGATCAATGCCTAGGCCAAGAGGTAATAGACGAGCACCAAAAACACCTGAGCAGAGGAGAAAAATTGCAGAAGCCATTGCTGCGAAGTGGTTGGATCAAGTAAGGGCTACATATATGTATATTTTGTGCCATATGGGCCTCTTTATTTCTCATTCCTCGTGCATTGGCCATAGAAGTTTGATGGCTATTTTCATATAGCATAAGCATTTGAGTTTGTTGCTTGACTTTTGAGTGCTCTCTTCCTCTAGGAATATCGTGAACGAGTTTGTAGTGGAATTGCTAGCTACCATGGATCATCTTCTGTGACTAAAACACCAAGAAAGCCAAGACCTGCTGGAGAACCAGGTGTAAAGAAACAGACTACAAAAAAGAAACCTATGCAAGCCAAACCTGTAAGCTTAGAGGACGCTCATGGAAAAAGTGCAGCTGTTAAGAGAAAGAAAAGTGCAACTCCCTACAAAGATCCGATGGCAGTTGAAAAATTGGAGATGATATCAAAGATTCGAGCTCAAAGGACAGCACAGGAAATAGAAAAGAAAGAAGCTATTAGAAGGGCCAGGTATGCCTTTTTATTTTGAAGCGAAAAATGGGGTTTTATTGTGTGAGACACATGCTCTTATTAGTTTTGGCAGGGAAAAAAAAGAATGTATAGCTTTAATCCATCGTTGTTTACCCATACATGTTTCTTTATTTGTTCTAAAAATCTATGAATGTTTGTTAGTACTCTTTTTCATGGGAAATATTCCTATTTAGCACTTCATTCATGTGTGTTTCAATTTCTCTTTATTCTGGTAAATAACTGCTGCTTAATTTTTTTATCTCTAGGACACTGATAGCAGAAGCGGAAAAGGCTGCTGATGCTCTGGAAACTGCTGCAGCGATGAACCCTTTTGCTCAAGCATCACTTATAGAAGCTAGAAAGCTTGTTACAGAGGCAAGAGTGTCACTTGAATGTGTTGATGATGAAGGGCCTCAAGAAACTGCTTCCAATGATGCGTCAGGGAGCTCAGCTTTATTGAACTTGCACGATCATGGATTGGAGACACAGAATGGAAGTAATCTGTTGAAGCAAGAAAGTAAACCTGTAAATGGGATGGGATTTCCTCCAAGCAATGTTAATGGCCTCGGTTTCCATTTTGATGTATCCGAACTCAGCGGAACAAAACAACTATATCAGAGGATAGAGAATTCCATGGAAAGGGCTTTTCTTCTCCCTTCGGCTTCGTCAAAGCTTAAAAGTGCGAATGGAGATTTCGGAATAATAGATTTAGAAGTGAGGCAATCAATGGCCAATGACACGGCAAAGCATAATGGCATCGCATCTGAATCAACAGAAACTTGTCCTCCAGGGACACTAGAGCTAGAAGGAGATCCTCCCAGGTCTGAAGAAAAGGCTGGAACAAGGGAAGATTGCCCTCGGGGAACACTCGAAGAAGACACACCCTCATCTGAAGAAAAGGCTAAGATGAGGTGGGTACGTGGGAGGTTGGTCAAAGTAAAAGACGATTTTGGGGATTCAGAAATCTAGTATTAGGCGACAAATCTGGCCAGAGTTACCGTTACTAGGCAATCGAGTTTGCTCACTTCCGTTTAGCCACCATTTTGTATGCCATTTGGTACGGCACAATTTGGTGTTTACAACCTGCTTGCTGGGACCTGGGAGTGGCGTGGTCTTGGTGAACTTTATTGGTTTGCAGCCTGCAGGAGCGAGCACATCATGATCAAGATCAACCTGCTGTCTTCTGTGCTGAGATTTGTAATTAGTAGTTATTAGGAGCCAGAGATCTTTTCTCGTCAGTTGTAGTCAATTGTAGGAAGGATTGCTGTAAAAGCAGGATTCGAGACTGCTTGCGTCTTGAATCAACTAGTTGGGACCCCGACCATTGCAGCGGGCTAGAAATGTAAGTCTGAAATGGAACATGTAAAAGAGAAGCATTTTCTAATGACGCTTCATGCAACACCTTCGCAAAGTCAACACTAGCCTGGTGCATCAAATGCTATGACTGAGGACCGAGGTTCCCGAAATTGACAATTTCTTGTATGAATTGACAGTTTTTCCTCTGCTGCTGCTGCAGCCGCCGCCAAAGAGCAAGACGGGGCAGTGTTTGCTTTGATCTTTTACCCACTGCTGAGTAACGAAATCACGTTTAGCCCGTAGCATCTTAGCGGGCGCAGCGTCCACGTTGTCGAACGCATCAAAATGTCTTCCATGCCACCTCTACATACGTACTGCTAACAATTTTTATAAAGACTTTCATTCATAATCAAGAGCACTTTACATGGATATTCATAATCAAGAGCACTTTACATGGATTGGATCCAGAGAGACCCAGAATACATACAGTAGGGCTGGGGCCTAACGTAGCCATGTTGCACGTTTTAGGTTGCTACGCGGTGGACATAGGAGTGAGGATAATATTTTGCTTCAAGAATGGAAGTAGAGGATCTTTGTTGGAGGCCACCATCCATGCTGAATGGACAACAATGCTAGTGTTGACTTTGTGAAGGTATTGCAACAGAAAACCAGCTTCAGACAACGTGTCAGCAAACGTTGGAGCCTTTTAAGTGTGTAAAATGATTTCGTTTTAGAATCTGTACACTTCAATGCATCGTTCCTGTACAACGTAACTATTTACACCGCTACCGGACTACCAAAGGGCCACCTCGACTGTCCCACTGTTAGCAAATCATCATGGAGAATGAGATGCGTCAGACCAGTCCTAAACCTAAAGGGAGTGCAATGCACAACCAAAAGGGCGCCCCGATATCGTAACACATTCACAGGCTGAAAATCCTACGGTCAGTCAGACCAAATGTCCTTCAATATTTTTATGGCCTGAATATTTTCATCATTCTGGTCACCTGCGTCCGGCAAAATGGGCATCGTGAAACCGAACTTGAGCATCGGTTACATAGGACATGACCGCATGGTATTATGGTCATGTTGACCTCAGCATTCAGGCAGATACGGCATGACCATGCTGCTTTGGCGACATCAGCTTCTCTTACAGCTGCTTCGGCCTTCTCCTGCAACAGTTGTTTAAACAACTTTCAGTGTCAACGATATAGGCGTACAGAAGAACAAATACTAATACCTACAAATGCAACGCAATGCAAACTATGAACTTTACAGTTTTCCTTCACTATCAAGCAGCTCATAGCCTCATAGCAGATTATACATGAATGCACGACAGTTGACAATGCAAACTATGACGGTAGTTTCCTTGACTTTCGGCAGTCATAGCCTTCTTAGCAGCCTATAAATGCAGTGCAATGCTAATTATGACGTTTGGGAGTTTTCTTGACTGCCAGGCAGCTAACGAGGAAGGCCAATGCATCCACAGGGCATTATGCATGTGGGGTCTGACTTGTGGTTCCTTTCATTATGGAGTTCCATAAAGGTGACATGGTCTTTAGATGGCACATCTATCTATGTTCTAGTGCAAGATCCTATAATAACAACCATCTGGTAATAGAGGGACTGAGGGAGCATACATTTAATTAATATATTCAACTTCTTTTCATATTTGAACTTCTATATATCTAAGTCCAAGAATATTGGTTTTTCTATTCATAATTAGAATTCACACTCAGTTTAACAAATGGATCTAAATGTGGTACCAGTTTAAAAACCTAACTCGTCATTGATCATCATTAGGTATCCGATAATATTCCAAGACACTGTCTTGTAGTAGTACGGAATTGACAGGGTATACAGATGCTAGTGAAAGAAAATGAATTCAAGATATAACACGAAAAGATATCAAAGCAAACAAACCTGCTCTACCAAGAGAGCAACTTGAGATTCTTTAAGCTGATCTTGCAAGGAAAGAGTAGCCTCAAAAAGTGTTTCCTTCTCTGCATCCATCCTTACTCCTGCAGCCGAAAGCATATCATGGACCGCTTGTACCAGCTCAGTGGAAGATACTTTTCCATATTGAAGCCCAGCATCCTGTAAACAGTAAAAACACAAGAATTAGGGTAACAAGTTCAGAATTCAGCTTGCAAAAATAGAAGTTGCACTTGGAAACCAACCGCATCCTTGGTGACTTCAGTGCCACTGTTGGTGGCTAAGAGGTTCTCTTGCCCACCTAATGCCACACCACCATTCACTTGGGAAGGTGCAGATAGGAAATCAGCCATTGAAACACTTTTAAATGAGTAAACATGACTGGAAAGCAGCATGCGAGTCTCGCCAGGAGCTGTCTCTACTGGAAATCTGTAAAGTGCTTGGCCAGCTGAGGGCCTTACATCTTCAGGGACCCTACCATACCTGAGCTTTTCCCCCTCTTTTCCTGTCTTCCATGCCACAATTTCACCACTATAGAATGGTCTTAATGGAAGGAATTGCACCTGCCGAGCATCTTGAGATAACAACTCTGCTCCAAGGGAAGCGTCATACCTCCCTTCACGTTTTGAAACTCCAACATCTGAACCCAGGTGAAGAATTTGAAGGACTTCTTTCTCTGAACCATCTGGGCATGCAAACAGTGAGGCGATAGGCAGGATCATTGGTGCCCCTAACCTGTGACTAACAACAATTGCGATAACGTCATATATTGTCAAAAAACTTGGGGGCTCTGCGACTAGAATATAACCCGTAGCTTTGTTGACGAAACAAATGCTTCTGTGCATTCCATTGCTTGACCATTCATGAATAGAAGGATGCTGGATGGTTCTTGTAACATCTTGGAGATTGGGAAGTAAGAGAAAGCGAGTATGGAGGCATTGAACCAGTTGCAGATTCTGTGAAATATCCTCTAGTATCTGTTCTATCTGGACCAAAGCAAGGGCTTCAAATGAAGGGAAATGATTGGTTACGCTGATCATCACAATCCTAAATGCATTATGCAAAGATTTACTACGCAGCTTCTCTTTTATTCTGTCTAGAGTAACTGAGTGAATGCTATCGACAACTTTAATTTCTTCTTTTCCATCAAGTTCCTGACAACATATGCCAATTGACATTGTTAGAATAAAATTTGTTCAATTTACATCAACCATACTTCAAATGAAAAGACACTGAAAAAGTTTGATATCATTATTTTATACCTCCACAATGACATCAGAGAGCTTTTTGATGCCCAAGGCCTTGCAGATATTCTGAGGAAGGTCTGGATGGGTGAATCTTAGCCTTGATGTATTTATGTTATTCAGTAAATGAGAACCATATGGGTCAACATACACACATGATGCAGCAGTGACCAGCCTGCAGCCATCATCTGGTATTACTGAATCGAAAAGATCATCTGATCCATCTGTGATACTTTGGTTGATTCCATTGCACATGAAGTCCAATATTTCCATAACCGCACGGAGTTCATTTGGGTTCAAGCGCTGGTAGCCACATGCCTTTTGGATATCCAAAAGAAGTTCTCTTGCATAGGAGTTTGTAAGGCTTTCCTGCATTCCAATCTCTCTAAGAAGGGAAACAAATGGAAGATACCGACTTGGAAGCTCAAAAGCAAAAGGTGACATGTTAATTGTCAGACGAGCAAAAAGTGACTTCACTGGGACCAATCGAGTACCATTTGCAACTGGTATAAATGCCAGTTTCTCCAGTTCTATTTTTTCTGAAAAAAAAAGAAGCAAAGAAAACCCTAGTTAAGAGGAATGACCGATATCATTTCCCAAAGCAACAGAAACTAATTCATCTTTCTTTTTTTATTGTTATCTTTACAGAAACTAATTCATCTTTTTTCTTATTGTTATCTTTGTGTAGACAATATAACTCCATTATTGGATCCCTTACCCAAAATAAAACGGGGTGATACATTAATTCTTAATATATTAGTACTCTGAAAGATTGAATAGAATTAGGATTTCAGAACAACGAAGTGTAAACATAGCAACAAGTGCACCCCAGTAAAAGAAACAAGTAAATAATTAGTAACTTTTACTTCCAGTAAATAATGGCAAATTGGCAACAAAATGTACAAGAAAACAGCTATGCATTTCTGCTACCTGAAGAAGATATTGTTCCCCATATTTTATCCAAGTATTGCAAGACCTGTAGAAAGGCATCTTCCACCGTCATTATCACTGCTGAGGTTGGCCAGTGTGCTAATGTGTCCTCACCATTGCCTCTACCAACAATCTGTTTCATTACAGAAAGTTAAGGGATATAATTTTAACATTACTTGTTTAAAGTTTTTTATGACATTCACCTGTAAGTGCCTAAAAACTGTACTGAAGGCAGGTGGACTCCTAAGCCGAAATGCTCCCCAAGAATACTCGGGAGGAACAATTGTTTGTTTGGTAAGAATTGGAGCAGAACTCCATGCTAATGGCCAGTCTTTTAATAAGATAGCTTCGTTGTATGAGGCAAGTACCCTTCGACCACCTCTCTTACCACCAATACTTGGAAAACCTTTTTCAGCAGGCACAAATGCAATTTTTCCAATCTTTTCACAAAAAGCACTGTCATACAAAGTAGCAAAATTTGCAAAAAGCACATTTACTACAGATTCTGCCAGAGACCATATCTCAAAAGGGATTTCATTTTTGCTGTCTGTGAAATCTGCCTCGAAGTCATCAGCATCTTCTAAAGACAACATAATATCATGTCCCATGGTTTCTATTTTTCTTGCACACTGTACTATCATATCAGCCTCTGTGGATGTCCTAAGGCCTGCTTTTCTGAGTATAACAAGCCAACCATCTGACATGAACCTTTCAGCAGGGAACTTATTTCTCTCCCCAGAAAACACAGAAGTCAACAGAGCATCCGAAGGGTCAAGTAATTCCTCAGGTTTGAAAAACTCTTTACAAAATTCATTTGCATTTGCCACAAAGTTAGTCTCCTTCAAGGTTTCTACTACAGCAGAGTTCAGTTGAAGATCTTTCCAGTTAGCATACAAGTAGGTCAAAATGTCTTCCTGCTCTTGAGCTGTTTTATTTCCAAATCCAGGCAACGCAAACTTCACTAGTATTTCATGATCATTTAGTCGTTCAACCCCCAAAGCCTGAAGAAACAAATGTGCATTTGATGAGCAAGAAAGGCACCGGGCATCACTAGGGTGAAAGAATGCTGTAGGAGAAAGAATGCAATGATCGGACCCTAACAGACTGGTGTATGTTCCTGTAACTGTCTTATAGATTGGAAGTGTTCTCAAGACATCCAATTCTTCTCTCTGATACAAGTGGCTGTTAGCTAATCTGAACTCCGAAACAAATAACCCAAATAGTCTATCGCAGTCTTCACTTGACAGGCTAAGTGGCGAAGGTAGATGTGCTGCATTTTTTGCTGCAACCAACTTAGAAACAATTGCCTGTCCAAGAGTACGACCATTTGGAGGAAATAAATTGCATATTGCACCACACTCTGGGAAGGAGGGATCAAAAATTGGTACATTCAACTGGTTAAGCAGAGAAGTTAACCATGGAAATTCTGAGTTCATTGACCTAAATGCAGTATCAAGCACTTCATTCTGTTCTGCTTCTCTAGTACTGTCTCTGGGGGAGTCCGGTGTATCAAGCTGTCCAGCTACATCATCTCCAGGAGGGTCTGGTGAATCACTAATTGGTGGCACAAATATTAGATGGCGTTCCTTCACACGACAGAGAACCGGCTTGTCCAGATAAGCAGGAATCAAGGGCCAATCAGACAAAAGAGAAAGGTCACCGTTCAAGGAACTGAAATTTTCCCAGAAGCTTCTAATCCATTTGGGAGTTGGAGTAATTGATGATTCAGCATCATTGTCCCAAGGAATCCATGAGGATTTGTTCTCAAGTGCAATCCGTATCCAACGCTCATCAAGTATGTGCTTCAAATAACCTGCTAATAAGTGGGGAGAAAAACACCTCAGTTTCAGAGGCCTATGGATAACCTGAGTGGAAAGCAGCAGAGCCAAGAAGGGTTTTTCCAGGCATTTATAGTGGATAAAGTGATCCAGCAAAGGGCTCATCAATAGCTGCTGCTGCTCATTGGCTATCCAGAGTTCAGCCATTCCCAACTTTGTTAGACGCATTGTTGATGTTGGAAATGGAACACCTTTAAGCTCAGAAATGATGGACGACAACACATTAGTTTCAGCAGCTTGAGTCCTGTGGAATGCTGGACCATTGGTTTTGCTGATATCCTCAACAACCCCCCTACCAAAGTCATATAGGGCTTTTCCAAAGTATGTCATAATTTCAAGTGCATCACCTCCAGAAGTACCTGCCATCTGAGTACTTGATTGGTAAGACAGTGTGCTGCTCGAAGAAGGCATAGAATGCGATCTAGAAGAATTTGTTGTTCCAACATGTTGCCTGTTAACTTGTGATTCATCAGGTGGATCATCCGAGAAGCGGTAAGGGTCCATATCTGAGAAGCAATATTCAAGAACATCTATATATGTTTCAATGGATCTAAGTAAAATGGATGGAGAAGCTTTTAGTAGTTCCCGAATCATTTTAGGTCTAATCTCTCTTATGGTAACTCCAACTGCCTGAATCTCACTAACCAACTCCCATGGCACAGAAAAAACAGGATATCGCTCTTTAATAAAACTACAAACACTATCACATGGGAGATTATAGTCATCTCCATTTCCTGAGTCAGCTAAGAACATACCCTCATCCACTTTAACAAGATTTCCATGGTAAAGTTGCCAAACAGGAAGATCAGCTAACCGTACATAGAAAGGCCTTATCACTTGCTCTATTAAGGATTGCCAATCTTCTTTAGATGCCCTTGGTGAATCCATATTTGTTCCAGTAGAACCACGCCCCGTGAACGAAGTTGGATTCTGCTTCGATCTTGGCCAAAAAGAGTATACCCTATCACCATATGTCTGTAATATAGCACCCACAGATTGTGCAGACCTTGGTTCGATAGCAGAAGATAGAGGGTCCGTTTTAAGCTTTTGAAATTCTAGAACCATCTCAACATATGAATCACGCACACATAACATAAGTTCCTTATTCCACGCTTCAACCAACCTGTCCCTGTCCTCTTTAAGTTCTGGCAGAGATGCATCACGTGTACTGCCAAAAATATAGCGCCCACCACTGTGCCTCACAATGAAATGCCCCAAAGTTGTGACTGGCATGCTTATAAACCCAGATAGTGGTAAGGGAGATAATATACAACTGGATGGATGTATATTGGTCGATACTCCATTCCGAGCTATGTGCGCTGCTACTCCAGCAACAGGGGTTAGGTTATAGGCAAGATACCGCCTGAAACAGAAATAAATCAGCATGCATTATACCATCCTTCAATGAGCACATAAATTTAATATCATCTGTCCAAGTTCTCTGGACAGTGTTAAAAATAGATAAAGCAAGTAGAAAAAAAAATCTGAGCCTTGGTCTCTGAAAGAGACAAACCTGTCAAGAGCCATGTTTCGTGTTTGACCTGATCCAAGGGAAAGGGCAACAAACCATTTGTCAATATAACTGCAGCCACTCTCAATTACGTGCACATCTATAGCTTGCATTTTGATAGCTGCACTTGTACTTGAAAATATTCTGGATATTTGAAACTTTCTCCATTTCTTTTCCGAAAATGGGTTCCTCAAAGAAGCAACAGATGGGTCAACAAGTACAGAATAATTCAGAGTTGACTGAGAGGCCCCATCCTCCCATGTTGATAAAGATACCTGTTTCGAATCACATTGGCAGCCCTTTAGAGTTTAGACATCAGAAGATATTGTCTGAGTTTTCCATGGTCATGTTTCAAAAATCAAAACCAACCAATAGAGTTCCCTTGCCACTATTTCTTAACAGCCAACACATCTCTAACATAAGTATGGCTATCGAAATGTTGTGTCAAATAAACTTTAGGTATCATGAAACACCTTACAAGTTACAATGTATTACAGCACCCAAAAAGAACTTAAACAACATACACTCAAAGTGCTACACCATTTTATCAATATTACAGACCCATTGTTAATTAAGCAGTTTGCTACGCCTTATTCAGATAACACTGAAGCTTTGCAAGGTGACATAATCATTCATTAATAGTGGCTAACTGTAACATATATGAAAGGGAATGGTGTTTATCCAAAATAGAAATGTCATTTGTGAGATATCTCAGGTGAAGTATAAACAAAACCCCGTAGGGGAGTTAAGTATAAATAGAAGTGCTTTACATAAATAAAGTAAATCTGGTTCATGATGAAATTCCATGGTAAAGAAACCACCTATTATGAGCGTAGAAAACAAATTCAAACAAGTTACACTTCAAAGAGGAAAGGCTCAACGGGGCACACAGCATACTACTGCTTAGGACGACATGCTATCACAAATAATCCTTACCTGAATGATTGACCTCAAGAACAGGAGAGTACTGGACGGATTCTGTGTAAATCGGTCAAAAACCTGTTGTACTATATTGCAACCTGCTTCAAGTTCTTTGAGGCATTTTGATGATAACGGCATTCGAATAATCGTGGAGTTTGCAGTACATAAAGAAGCATCCTGTGTAACACGCATTGGGAGGAACTGATCATGAAACCTCTCGACCAAATCATTTCCTGAAAGCCAACTACCATTTTCAGAACTTCATACACAAAAAACAGACATCGATGCCAAAACATAGGCAATAATGCCGCTGATTCTAGATATGCACATTACTACATCAGTACATGACTTCACAATTCAAGCATTGCCAAACAGGACAGGACATTCATATTAATGTGCTATCATGTTGCCACAAATAAAGAATCTAGCAGAATTGGAATAATAGATGTTTAAACATGGGACACAACAAGATTATTGCGTTAATGAATTTTATATGAAGCCTTCGACCACCGACAGAGCCATCTGCCCAACGGAATTGATACAAATGTTTTTTTTTTCGTTTTCTTATTTCATTTTTGCTTTTTGTTTACCTACTCTTTTCAGGTTTACTGTTCACATTGTCCAGTTTGGGAGTATAAAATGTCACTAGCATGGTACATCTGTTAAACCTTAACCAGAACATTGCCACATACCAGTTGTTCAAACTAAATATTAACACCTCAAGTTCTTCAATAATTTATCTATACGTCATGAAAGTTCAAAATCATAAACTAGTAGGAAGGTAAATGAAGCTCAATGCTTTTCAACAAAGTGTAATATGATTTTCTACAAAGTAAAGTTAACTGTTTTCATGAGGCAATGCAATGCTTGTTCATTATCCTTTATCCATCCATCTACTTTCTTCATTCTCAAGCAGCCTATACAACAGGGATATTCAACTTATTAGCATTCTCCAAATGAAAGGGGCATGGTAAAATCATCACATTGCAGTGTAACACGGTCTTGTCATTGATAAGGAGCTTTTCTTTCTTCCAGACTATCTAGTACTTACATTATTATCACGTAATTTTGACCACATAAAGAATTTCAATTAACCAAGTCTGTACTTTGATTTAGTGAGAAGTAATACACAGATTTTGAGTGCACTATGTAACTGATCAAAGTGTACAATTTCAACCTGGCAGAAGAAAAAGATTGCAACATAAGATATGCTTATTGCTTTTACAGTAAAAGAGAATCTAAAGATTGTGCCATGTGTTCACAGTAGAACAAATTGTGATTCTATTTAATATGCAAATAAATTGAGTAATTATATTTTTCTCACCTAACAAAGAGAAGTATCTTGCGGATGAGGTAGCAGTGGAAGTCGCATCACCAGTCAAGCCCAAGGGGTCAAAAATGTAAAAGTAACCACCAGAAAGAATAGTCAATGTATCACAAACAAAGTAACTACTAAGAAGTCCCAAGCCATAGTTAAGGATGTTCCCTCTCAATTTCCAGGGAGGAGGAAGTTGGAAGCTGCAAACTTCTTCTCGGTTCAATATGGTTCCTTCCAAGACCACTGTCAATGAAGAACCCTGGAGGTCACCTATAATTTCACAAAAAAAGGAAACCATTAAGGACACACTAGAAGGTTAAAATATAATTAAGTGGACTATAATTGTAGCAGGTAGATAAAGTAAAACAATTGACTAGAGAGGCTGTTTCTACCATACCTAGACTCTGCTGCAGTAAGGACTGTTTCGGATGTTCTCTTTTGTCATAAATCAGATGCACTTTCTTTGCATTGCAATAGTCTGCTAGCTCTATAAGGTCAAACAAAAGAAAGTCGCTCTCACCATACAAAGCCAACAGCTCACTTATTTTAGCATATTCCATGCAGGGCAAATTCCTCATTAACTCATCATCCAGCAATGATGATCCACGAAGAGATCGTACACCAAGCCTATTAGCCAGTTCATTGCCAATACTGAGATGAATAAAATTCTTTGAAGTGGGATTAGCATTCATCCAGGGTGCATCGTTATAGACGAGGTTTCTAGCAGGTGTCAGAACCCCAAATGAATCTGGAATCACCAATGAGTTCAGTAACACATCAGGTGCTTGACTATCAGGGTAACAGTCAACAAATGCTTCCAATACACAATGAACAAAACTGAGTTGCTCTGTGGACAACGGCTCTCCTTTGACATCTCCTTCTAAACGGCGGAGCACATTCAGATAATCCATTGCATCAAATGTCTGCCTCACACCCAACTCTGAGAGTAACTTTTTAAACTCTGACAGTTCGGATGGAACTGTGTAAAGATAGGGATGATATTTTACAGGCGAGTCAAAAGCAAGTGCCTGTGGTGCCACGAACCTATCCCCTATATAAACCCATTGAAATCCATCCAGATACTCTTTTAGAGCGTTGCCACTGGTAGTGCCAATAATATCTTGCAATTTTGAGTAGATTACTTGAACCTCCTTTTGCAGAATAGCATCAATGTCTGTGTCTGCAGAAAACATTTTGAGTTCATCATAAGACTTGGAGAGCTCGACTAACTGAGAAGACAATGTGCTCACATTTGGTGGGTCACACCAGCCTAGTTTTCTTTGCACATACATGGAACAGGAATCTGCACTAAGAATTCGCATTTTTGATGAAACAAGCCACATCTGCGATTTCGGCCTTGTGATGACAGGTGGTGCTATGATATCTTCAGATATGAACCATGGAAGTCCTTTGAGCAATGGTGCAACATGGACTGGACACCAAGAAATATTTTTCAGCTCTGACCAAAATAAATCTTCTGGCATATCATAATCAAAATTCGAGAACAAAGATACACTAGTTTGGTCACTTGGATCACACACATCTCCATGATTTTCAGGTTCCAAATTTTCACTAATTTCAGATGCTTCCGGATTCCCATCCTTAAGAGAAGTTTCTCTGCCCTCCATGTATGAAGTTTTGGACTCAAGAATGTTTAGATAGGTAAGTAGCTTTTGCCCATAAGCAAATGCATCATCTTGTCCTGAATTGTGCACCAGTGAAACTGACCTTGCCATGTCAAGCAAAGTACTAAAACCGAAATTTCTTTTCAATCCAAAACTACCCAATAATTCAATTACTTCAGTCATCATGAACTTTTCTGAAGGAAAGAAGGTTTCTTGGTGCAGCAACTTCAGTAACTCAGGCACACGAGGATCATAAAGCCTAATGAGAAACCAAACATTAGAACTAAATACACATTGGCATGTATCAAAGTCAGAGGGAGAGAGAGAAGAGGAGGGTGTGGAGTCAAAAAGGAAGACTGACCTGGAGGGCTGGACCCACGCTCCATTGGCTGACAAGACAAAAGGGGTCTCACATAATGCAGCTCTTGCTGAATCATCATTATCTATCAACAGTTTCACATCACGAATAACTGCTGAAATAATAGCTGGCTGCAAAAGAAACTCTGACATTCGAGGAAGGACATGGTCCTTGTAAAATTCAACCTTTTGAGGTTCCTTGATATCAAAGTATGATACCAAAATTGACCTCTCCTTCACAGATTCAGTTCTTATAAAGCTTGCATTCAATAAATCCTCATGCACCCCTTCTGGTTTAAGCCATTTTCTAGGATTTGTCAAGTTAACAAGTTCCCTAGATTTATAAGATTCAAATATTGGGAGGTTCCTGATTGTATTCATATGGGAGGAGGTGATCTGATTTCCGGAAAACCACTTTGACTGGAAAATGAAACTTCGGAGTTCATGTGCTTCTGCCAATGAAGTGCTCATAAACAATTCCTTGATATCCTGGAGATTAGAAGCTGACTGCACAGCATTCAAAACACCAGCAGCAGTGGATTCCTGAACAAAATTCGCTAACTGAGGATGTTCTATCTGCAAATCAGATCGCAGAAATAAACATCCCAGTTTTTGAAGCAAGGAATGCATATTTTCGCTCCATCCATCATCTCTTATTACATTTGCAGCATTCCCAAGTTGCACGACCTTGCCATCTACAAGAGGTAGTATAGGCCACTTTGCGAAAACTGAAATATCGTCACAGGAATGCCTCAAAAAATTCCAGAGTGATACCATCCATTCCATACTTGGCTGGCCTTGCTGCTCAGGAAACCAAGACAACTGCTTAGCATGTTGCCATTCAGGTGGCAAGATCCTAGGCAACAGCTCAATGAGAAGATTACTTGTGAATATATATATGTTCATGCGTGCAGAATAAGCTATGTCATACAACTTCTTCGAAACACCTTCTGGTAAAGAATTGTCAATAACAAGATGTGGTATGGAATCCTTAAGAAGTTCAAATTCTATTTGTGAAGTAAGGAATACTCTCTCACCCTCCCCTCGTTTGTTGAATGTTGTGAATGATCCATTTGCCACAGGAAGAAGAGCCAAACCTTGCAATTTATCACAAAAGGAAGGATCTCCCATATCACTCAAGCAATACTCAAGAACAAGTATAGCCTCTTCTCTGCTTCTGAAGCCACGCTTCCGTCGGATCAACAAATTCCTCAGCAAATGAGGATTTAGTAGATGAACTGATGGATATGCATTAATGAAATTGTCAATTATTGGCTTGGTTACAGATACCACAGGCAAACCAGCTTGAGAGAGAAGTTCTGCCAGCTCCATTGCCTTTGAGAAACTGAAATCTGGAAAAATAGCCTGCCTTGATGACAGCCAGTGACCACCTCGAGCTTTTGTATATAGAACGTGAATTCCAAGTTCTGCAATAGATACATAGAGTTTCCTCACCATGGAAGACCATGGTTCAACACCTGTAGCACTAGGCCAAAATGACAGAAACAGGTCAGAGGGACCAAGCTCTTCAGCAACAGCTGCAAGCAGGTGCCCATAAGCAGGAGCAACGACATCTTCAAGCAACGCTAAATTCCACTCTGATCGTACTCTTCCTCCCCCAGCCATGTCATTTCCGATCCAGATATCCCTTCGATTTGAAGAGAGTTCAAAATAAGCATTTACATGCACTGGCATGCTAGTATTGATTGGTAGAGGAAGAAAGCAAAAGGCCCGACCCTCAATTTTTTTCCTGACCTTAGAAGATCCAAGATCTGGATTTGTGAAAACTGAGTTATCATGGTTGACTTCAGCTTCAGCAGATAGTTCTTTTGTATCATCGACACTCACTGAATGCAGATATGCAGCAACAGATGCCCATGGAACAAAGAAGTGAGATTTACTACCAGAGGCAGTTGACAACTTTCTAGCATGACCCCCACCTATACATTCAGCTAACATCCATGAGTGCAACAAGTGTGAAGAAGGGTTTTGCTCAAGAATAGTAACCTTCTGACAACTCCAGGGCAAGTCACTGTCTTTAGTCTTATTCAACTTACTGAAAAATTGATTTCTATCCATTCCTGATGGTTGGTTTCCATGTATAAATGCAAGCATTGCGCCAAGTGCATGAGGTTCTTTACCCATCTGAGAGCTATTATTCCTGGACACACGATGAACAAGTCGCATCTCCTGACTGTTGTTCTCCTTGACATATAGAGTTACCTTTTTAACATTGCGGAGAAAAAGTAGAGCCTCAGATACAACTTCAGAGAATGAAGAGAAAAGCATTTCCACATCTTGTGGTGCATACTGTTCTCGTTTTATTTGACTTCTCGAAGCAGCTGCCGCATTCCTAAGGGGAAACCGGAAGAGTGTACCTGGAAATGGCTGTTGCAAATTGCAACCAAAATGTAAGAATGGGGTGAACTGATCAGGAAACTGATCTAAGATCCTTCTTCCTACAAACTGTATCCTTAAACCAGGATGAGACGGAGATATTCCTGGCAAATAACAGGCATGTGGATCAAACATGACAATGTTCTCACCGGAAACAAATCCAGGAATATCTGTGAAGTGATACACACAATTGAAGCCAAGACCAAACCTTCCAATTGCAAAAGGTTTCTCAAGTTTGCTGTCTTGACCTATTCGTGAGATGGCATAAAGGTCCTGTGGACTAAAAACTGAATCATTAAAGCAGTAGAGAGCAGGTCCTTGCCATTCAGCCATTTCAGGTGAAAGAATGGATGAAGTTCCATACTGAGTCTTATCCAGCAAAAACACAACCTCAGAAGCCTTAGCATCTTCTGCGTTCTGTACCAACTCAAAGAGAATTCCAGGGCCATCTGCATACATCTCAACAATATGCTTGAGTCGTGTAGTCAAGTCTTCATGCTGTCCAAACGCTTCAGCAACTCCTGACAAACTCAAATTCATCGAATCAGAACTCTCAGCAAGCAAGAGACGACGAAGAGAGCGGACACCAAGCCTTTCAGCCACATCATTAGAAATGTTACCATGAACAAAATTGTGAACATACTTTTTCGAGCTTAAAGCAATGCTTGATGCGCTCCCACTGATGTCATGACCAAAATCACGTAACCAAGGAGCATCATTGAATACAAGTTCAGAAGATAGACAGAGCCTAGATGAAGAATCGGGTAAATATATTTGTGTTTGCTGATCCTGAAACCAGAACTCAGATAAATGCTGCACAACCAAGATAGCTGTTCTTAATTCTTCAGCTTCAAGTGAAGCTGAAGCTTTCCTTATGGCCATTCTGCTGAGAATACTAGCATAATCAACAGGGTACAGGTGCTCCTTTATGCCGAGCTCCAAGAACAAGTCTTTGAACACTGCTAAGTCAATTGGAACAACACGAATGTATGGTGCTAGATGAAGGTGACCACTTAAAACAACTTCGTCTGTTTTCGCAAATCCATCACCCACCCAAATCCATCTGCATCCTTCTAGAACCACTTTCACAATATCCATTTCATCAGAACCAATCAAGTTTGTCAGCAAAGAATAAATCTTAGGCATCACCAAAGCTAATTCTTGCCGAAAGACTTGGTCAGTCACAATTTCATTGTTCTTGCCCAATTCAAGCAGTTGAGCTGCAATCACGCTCCCTGATGGAGGCGACAACCAACCTAAGCTGTACGACAAGGCTGAGGAAGTGCATTCACCATCAAGAATACGTGAGCTAGCAGAAACAATCCACATATCTTCCTGCATCCTTACTTGCTTAGGTGGAGCTATCATTGATGATACTGAAGGCCATGGCAAAGCTGGACTTGGTGCAGTAGCCAACACAGGACACCAGCAAATCAGTCTCAGATCACTCCAGAACTTTTCAAGATCAAATTCCCAAGATTTGTCACGAGGCCTGAGCGCAGTGGTAACTTTAGCTAGCATGTTCACCTTCTTCCGACCATCAGATAGCTTATTCACATACCATTTGTGAGCATGAACTTCAATATATGAAAGAAGGACCTTACCCCTTGAATGAGCCTTCTGCTGATCTATGTTCACAAGTGAATCAATCTGCCGAGCACTTTGTAATATGGTATCAGTAGAAACTGAAGTTCTAAGCCCCAAGCAAAGCAGCATATCAAGAACATCTGGATTTTGAAATAAACCATGGGGAAAGCAATCTGATTCCTGGAGAAGAACATAGAGTTCTTCCACCCGGGGATCATAAAGAGATTGTGGGCTTTTCAAAGTTCCATTGATAGTGGGAACAAATCTAAGGATTTTCAAGGTTTCCTTGAACATTGGATCCTCCAAGGACAGCTGAGGCAGATCTTGTAAGATTGTTAATAGAACTGAATCGCGCAACTCCGTTTGCAGCTTGTCCAATCTATTCAGAACATACCTCTGGTAGAAGTTTGATTTTGGCATGCGTTCAACGCCATAATATCTCATTATGATATCTTCATCGCTTGGGCAAATAGAGAAAATAAAGTCAGCATTGAGTAAGTGGTCAGGAACACCAAGAGGTGGCAGATACTTTCTTGAACTGGACAAATCCGAGAAAAAATAAGTACTGGGAGAACCTCCATCAAATACCCTGAAGATTGGAAGCTTTTTGCATTGATTTATACTTATGTCAGAAAGGCGGGCTCCTAAATACCATTTTGGATCCAGAAGAAACTGGTACAGTTCATTGTTTTCTCCAGGGGTAATGCGTTGAAACAGAGATTGCAAGTCAACACCTTCCAATGAGACAACCCCAAAGATTGACTGAAGAACTCCAGTTGCGTCACCATCATACACATAAAATGACAATTGCTTGTGGTCACTCAAATATTCAGCATCCAGTATCTTGCAACCAAACTTTGCCAGGAGTTCATTCATCAAACTAGACAATGATTCTGTTTTGATTAATTTTGAGCTTGTACGTGCCCTGTGAAGGTGGCCAGAAGTAGATGGCAGTATAGGCCAATCACTAAACAAATGAAGGTCATACAAGCGTCCCCCTATATACTGCCAAAAAAGTTTAAACCAGGCTGCTGTAGGAGATGACCCACCCAATCCTGGATTCCAGGGAACTTGATCTTTAAGCTTCCATCCAGGAGGAAATAACCTGGGTAAGAGCTGGCAGAAGATCGGGCCATCAATGAGCCTAATGTTGGCCTGGGAATCACTGGCTATCTGATACAGCTTGTCTAGTAGTACAGGAGGGATGCTTCTGTCAACTATTCTATCACCAACTTCAGCTAGAAGCTCATATTCGATGTTATCACAGGCATAATAATAGCCCTCTTGCGAACTAGCAGAAAAAGTCCCATACTGCATATTTGCTAGTGGAATCAGTGGAAGGCCATTCATGCATTTACCAATATCAGTACTGTCAACATCAGTAAGACAATATTCCAATAATATCAACTTATGAGACTTTCCTAGTGTAGCAAGTTTAGCATAATTGTTGAGGAAATGCCTCACTATAGCAGGACTTACTATTTTGAGCATAGACTGCATATAAAATTTTGAAAACATATCACCTATTGCATTAGATACGCGGACAATTGGCATGCCTACCAACACGAGGGCATCATTAAGATTATTGCTTCCTGAGAATCCCTCATCATGAAGCAAAGCATCAGCTGGTGATATCCAGGTCCCGCCTTCAATCTCTGAATGCAAGACTGGCGAGGTGTAAATAACCTTGTAAATTTGCTCCACAAGGATACTCCAGGGCTCCTCATATAAACCAGTTGGCCACAGTGAATAATATGATATCGTGGAGTCAGAAAGCATCCGCAACTTCATCAGCAGTTCTCTGAACAACGGGGCGACAACATCTTCCAACAGTAGCCTGTTCCAATCAGAGCGAAGCTTACCACCCCTGTCCATGTCAGCACCATACCAAATGTCACGTCGGTTGGATGAAACTTCAAAATAACCATTGACATGCACAGATAGTCCTGTCCTTACTGGCAAAGGAAGAAAACAGAAAGCACGACCCTGTCTGAGAACAGTATCCTGTAAAATTCAGCAATTACCATAAAATGACCAAGATACTACAAAATGATGATGCATCATAGAAATTTTGCTATAGTATGAAGTTCATTCTACCAAAAAAAAAAGGATCAAGCATCAAGCATACATTTTGCAGTATAAGACATCACAAACCACAATTGAAGTTTTCGATACTCCAGACTCCAGAGACTTTGTTCAACAACAAAAACAAGACAGAGAACGATATGGAACCCCTCTTTTCAGATAAGGATGCCATTGTTGGTGTGATATTATTTACTAAACAACAGAAGACAGCAACAGGCAGGACCCAGCTGTTGCCACAAATCACATATTGCAAAACCACAAAGACAATCGTTCACTGACAGATATCACATTAATCTTGCTCCCTAACCAAAAGACTACCTATGAACTCTGACAGATATCACATGCCTCTTGGCAATTTCATGAGAAGTTAGACAAAAGTAAACAAAGGTGACATTTCACAACAACATATTTAATTCAGTTAACTAAGTATCACAAAGACAGCTCCATGACAACATGCATGAATAATTGGTCTATACTCCACAGTCATGGTCTGATAGCATAAAACACACTGAAAGAAAGTGATCAATTAAGCAATTGAGAAACTTCCAAAGTAGTTTAACTGACATTCTAGAGAAAATTCAAGCGCTTGGTGCAATTTGCATTAGGAGGAAAAATATTCAGGATCCAAATTACAGGACAGAACAGAGACCCCTGGCAACCTAAGTCAGTACTGGAGATGCAAATTGAAAATGAATCAGGGATTACCTCAAGCCCTGTGTTGGAGATGCAAGCAGCAACAGAAGCCCAAGGCAGTAAGTGAAGATCATATTCCTTGGCAGCTGCAGTTGCAAAAATACCAATTTTACTTGATGCAGATGCCATTCCCTGAACGATAAAATAGGTAGAGCTCTTTTTCTCAATCTTGTTGCCCGAGAATGCTTCTGATATGAAATCCATCGAGAAAGAGTCCAACTTCTGCTTAGAAGATTCAACAGGAGTGCCAGAGAACCTGACAAGGGCTTGGCGATGCCAGGACAGCTTTTCACTCTGTGGCTCTAAGTAACAAGAGTATATTATTTTTGGCTCAGCCATACCAGATTCCCACACATACATCTCAAGTGATAGAACATTTTTAAGGAACAGCAAATTATATACAGCTTCTTGGTACAGTTGGGCAAAAAGAGATAAAATATCATCTTCTGTGTATGACTGTCTTGATAACCGACTTGAAGATGCTTGCTCAGAACTCCTCAAAGGAAAACGAAACAGAGTTCCCAGAAATGATGCTTTCATGTCGCAGCCAAACGCACAGTAGGGTGAAAGCTGATCATGGTACATTGTAATTGCTGACGAACTGACATAGTCGATGCGCTTTCCAGGATTTGCTGCCGACACATTTGGAAGATAAGCACCCTGGGGGTCGAATAGGACAACATACTTGCCACTCACGAACGACGGCAAGTCAGTCAAGTGGTAAACTGAGTTAAAACCAACCCTGCAGAAACATAATTGTGTTTTGAGCTTCAGAAGCCTTCCAAATAATAAATTAATTAGTGATCAAACTCAGCCTTGAATAAAGCATTATGCTGTAATGCTTAAGAGAGAAAGCCAGTTACATTGCAACACAAATGGAAATGACAGAAATATAAATGGGTCATAGAGCAAGGCAGTAGATAAAACATAACATATATTCATTGATTTGTCCCTGCATCCCACTCTCTCCTTACACTACACAGCATATTGATACATTCCCTAATCATTGGGAACGATCGCACCCTCAAAAATAGCTGGCATCCTGACAAATTGTAGTGGCTAGGACGCCATAACACAAAAGCAGCATCGTCACAACCAGTTTGGAAGCTCGGCATTGCAAGTGACCACTCCAGGCAAGCTCCGCATTGAGAATGAGGCAGTAGAGGCGTACCCGAAGCGGCCAGTCTTCCACGTCTGGGCGACCTTCTTGCTGTCTCCAATGCGGGAGATGCTGGCGAAGTCCTCGTCGGTGAACACCGCGTCGTTGTAAGCAAGCAGCGCGGGGCCCTGCCACTGCGCGAGCGCGGGGGCCAGCAGCGACGCCCTCCCGTGCGATCGGCGATCGAGGCAGAGGCGGACGCGCCCTGCGCCAGCGTCGTCGGCGTTCTGGATGAGCTCCCGCAGCGCGGTGGTGCCCTCCGGGTAGTTGGCTAGCACCTCGCGGATGCGGCGCGTGAGGTCCACGCGCTGCCCGAAGTCCTCCAGGAGCATCCCGCCCCCGCCGCCCGGATCCATGGCGGTGAGGCGCCAATCGGAGCTACTGGGGCATCCCGGGAGCGAGGAGGGAGGGAGGATGCTAGGGTTTCCGGAGGGATGCAAGGGTTTGGTTTGGTTGGGCTCCGATTTGGGCGTGTTCGTGCTTCGTGGCGGTGCGAGGACGGGGTGGTTGGTCTCCCGGGGATTTGACTCTGTCTAGCCTTTTCGTCGCCGTGTTTCTTGTTCTTGGAGGGGAAGGGAAGCCAAGAAAGGGGGTCCCGCCGTCCCAGCGATTTACCGGCAGCTGCTCACCTCAGGGGTGACGGATGAGACCCACGTGCCAGGGATGAGAGGAGAGAAAGGTATGGACTTGGGCCGTGCAGTGGCCTCTGTGTGTGACTTGGTCTGGCTCTGGCCCACGGACATCCATCGTCCTCTGGATGGCCCAACTTTGAGATTGCAGCGATGCAAATCCATTTTTTAGTGTGCTAACTCGTCTGCAAATACACTTTTACACCATTATGTATGTGTGTTGAAGTGGTTTGATATAAAACTTAAACTAAAATTCCACACTAAACCACTCTAACACACATGAATTGAGTTAGATACATAGGCATACATACAAACCATGACAATATATGAGTTGTTGAGCACATAGGCGAAGAATGAGCTAGTTCTCCTGCCCGGAGCCGTCAAGCCCGTTCGGCTGATCAGCTTTTGGCTGATTTCAAAAGATTTCGGATGATTCAATAGTATTCTATGAGAGAGAATAAGCTGAAACAATAAGAGAACTGATCAGCCGAACGGGCAATGGCGAGGACGTGGCTCCGCCTCTGTGACATTTTCCATTTCCTATTGGGGCACCGTTGGGCCAAACCTGCTGCCCAGCTACCATGGCGAAAGAGATCGACCAACTATATCTTCGTCCATGACATTTCGTAGTACGATGACGAAGGCGGCACCGATGGTGTGCTGCATAGCACCCACAACATACTAGGGGCGTCTCCAACCGTCCAACAACCAGCGATGTCTTTGTTTTACTTAGATCTTGTTTAACATGAAAGAGAGAGAGTGTTCTAATGACAAACAAATCAACAAATGATTTCACATGGGCCAAGAGATGAGGGCATTCAGTGGGAGAGAGTATGGAATTAGTGGCATATAGGATTTATTTGCTTGCCCATATATCATCCGCAATTCGCGTATGTTAAAGTGGTTTGGTGTGGAATTTAGTTTAGGGAGATTCCTCCTCTTTCTCGCCTCTAGCTACTCTATCGGGGACTTCATAATAATCCAGACCAATGGCAAGCGGCTTTGACAACCCGAAGCAACAAATCAAGTTCACGTCTCAGCTCGTTGCACAAAATCAAAGAAAAAAACATCGAAGCCATTCATATGTGAGTGAAAAACAAAGCAAATATTTAAAGCTACTCACTGCATTATAAAATTATAATTCATACAACCTCCGTCCTAAATTAAACTTCTCGACTCTGATCAAGTTTTCGGAAAAAATGCATCAACATTACAAACACTAAATTAATTTTATTTAATTTTTTAGAGTTCAAGGGCAAACTGTCCCGCCTTTTCACATTCATTAAAAGACAGAAATGGTCATTACAGCGCAGTTCAAGTGTCCAATAAACTCCATCAACCCAGAACTAAAACTCAGCCAAAACAACTATAGGCATAAAGCAAAGAATGAAGACCATAACACCTACAGACTCCTCCAAGAACAAAACTCAGAACCAACTCCTAGGACAAACGGTACCCCACAGATTACAGAAACAGCAACTGGACAACGCGCCCGTCCACTAGATCTTCAGACTTGGACCACCTTAGTTGAGAGGAATCAGCCCCGGCTTCATCTTCAGCAAACACTGCATCTGGTCCAACATTTGTAGATTGTTCAAAGAGGCGTCCAGAGCTATTGCCGTCTTCAGGGAGGAATCGGTGGAAGCCATGACACCATAGTAGCTCTTTTCTTGATCTCCAGCACAATTCTTGATAGAGATTTTTTCTTGTTTTCCGGGCACAAAATTAGCCAATTTTGCACCGTGTAAGCCACTTTGGACAATAGGATATCCATCCCTTTCCACCCTACATTCTGAAAATAGATGTCATTTCTCAGTTTCCACATATTCCAGAGAGCAGCATCCCAGGCTTCATATTCACCAAACAATGTTTTTTATTGCTAAGCCAAAACTTGCCAATGGATTCAAAAGAACCCCCCAGGTTCACACCAAGAATGTCAGATAACACCCTCCAAAGCTGTGCAGCTACAGCACACTCAAAAAAAAGGTGAAGAACAGATTCTTTCTCACAACAAAATAAGCAAGAGACATCATCTAACTTTTTCCTTTTGCTCAAGTTATCTCTAGTGAGAACCTTATTTTTTGATAGCAACCAGAGGAAAAAAATGTACTCTAGGGGGAACTCTCAGATCCCACACAGTTGACACAAACACAGGTTGTACTCCTCTGAAGTTAATAACTTTGTACAAAATTTACTTCTGTTACCATAGGTACACATCACTTTATCTTTAAATATCGCATTGTGGGCTGTAGCTTTGCCAATAGCCTGATGAGTCCACGGCCCAGTGAAGCGCGGGTCAGTCAAACTCGCTTCTCGTTCTCGTGGCGAGGCCGCACGGTACGGCGGCGGCGGGCAGGAGGGAGTCAAGAGCTCGCTCCGTACACTGGTTCACGCGGTGCCAAATCCTCCAGCCTCATTTCCCTCGCAATCCGTCTCGTCTCTCATCCTTCGCCGGTTGTTGCGCTCCCCCGTCGGTCAGTGCCGCCCCGTAATCTTCTAATCCCTTCCGACCCTCCTATCAGTTTTGCCAAATTGCTGTAGTCAGTCAACTGGTGTCTCGATCGCCTCTTTGCCATGGCGATCCGACTCAAGTTGACGGCCATTTGAGGGCGCTAACCGTTACCTGTCCCGCAGCGTCGACACCCGCGGCCTGTTCGACGGAATGCCTCCAGAGCGCAAGGGCATCGACGACCTCCCGGACGAAGTCCTCCAGTACGTGCGTGCTGTCCCGCCGCTGGCGCAACCTCTGGAAATCGGCTCCAGGTCTGCGCATCCTCGCCTCCAAGGGCAAGTTCTTGGGATCGGTGGAAAAGCTCTGCAACTTCTTGGACTCTCTGCTGGTACTCCGTGGGGGCGCGCCTCTCGACACGTGTGAGCTCCGGTTCAGTTATTGGACAACGGCAACTTCCATAGTGCAATTCATACAACGCTTGGAGCCCCTGGTGGGAAACTGGTTCCGTCATGCTTTCGTGTGCAAAGTTCAGGTCCTCAGCCTCTATGCACATGACTCTGGGAGGATTGACGGACGTCACGGACACACAGTTTGCCTGTACAAGATACCACATCTCAACTCCCAGCACCTGACGAGGCTAGAGGTTGGCAGCGTAGTGGTTGACAACAGTTTCCTTAACTTCTCAAACTGTCCGTCTTTGTAGCATCTAAAATTTGAGAACTGTTTTTTCGGATCATATGGTTTTAAGCTGGGTGATTCCCGCACTCACATTTGTGCCCCGAATCTGGTTTCACTACATCTAGATGAAACTTGGGGGTGGACGATTCCCATGCTTGAGAGCATGCCGTCATTAGTGAAGGCATTTGTTAGAATATGCATGGTTCCAGGGGACAGCTGTGGCCTAATGGGCAATTGTACTTGTGAGTTCTGTGACAATTCTTACAGTATTGGTGATGGCACTGGCAGTAATGGCTGTGTGTTACTAAAAGGTTTATCCGAAGCTAAGGATTTGACGTTGATTTCTGCACCCCAACCGGTATGCCTTCAATGTCATCTCTATGACTCTAACTCGATTATGTTATGTCATCTCATTATTGGCAGGCAAGCTTTTGCCTTTCGCATTCCTTGTCACTAAATATTTAAACTCAAACCATGCTCTCAATGAGGATTGGTTCATCATTTTCTCTTACGCTTTGTTCAGTTTATCTTCAAAAAGGATTTGAGATGGTGCCCAACGTTTAGTAAGTGAAAGACCTTGCTGCTCAATGACTACTGGTGTGTGCCTGATGATTTCCGTGCACTAGTTTGTCTTCTTGAACACTCACCGGTTCTAGAGAAGCTTACTCTTTCACTTTCCTAGGTACAGGCTTCATAAATTGCCAACTGATGCTTTTTAGAATTATTATATTGTCAATTGATCGTGCTAAACTGTTTTTGTTGATTACATAAGGTTGAACAACAAAGAGAAACAAATAATGGAAGTCTCAGACCGATGGAGAGATCAGCTGCAATTTTGGAACCTTAAGATAATTGAAGTTAGATGTGATGTGGCTGATGAGAGGATTTGTAAACTTACCTTATTCCTATGTGCATTTCACACACGTAAGCTGACTTGCTACTCTCCATGCTTCTATATTTCTGAGATTCAACGCTACCTTTATTTGTATGAAAAGAAAGCAAGCAGCGCTGATGACTAAGTATGATGCAAAATTAGAGAAACGAATCCATGCACTGCATAAACATGTTGTTGACAAGCAGCATCCATACAGCTAGAGAGTTACCTAGATTGAGTTACGTTAGAAAACCATGTATCATACAATCGATCATGTTTTGTACTGTAAGTCTGTAACCAACCATTTTATCTGAAAATGGTCACACATTTATATCCTGTTACAGATTTGAGCTTTAACAACCCAGACCAGGATGAGGAGGAAGGACATGTTTGAGCTTTAACTAACGTGCAAGAAAAGTTGGACTATTGATTGATCTATTGTATCTTACAGCAAGGCTCTTACTGTTGAGGAATGCGAAGTTCGCTGGAACAAGTTTGCCATCTCAGTGGCGGACCCAGGATCTGAGACCAGGATAGTCCTAATAAAAAAAATTCATGTGTAATACTATAAAATCCAAATAAAAAGTTCAGCATAGCTATAAATTAACCAAATTACGATAATACATTTAAAAGGTTCGAAACTTACATAAATACTCCCTCCATACTGGTAAAGAAAGTCGTTTAAGATATGATTTAGCATACCAATGAGTGATTAATTAAGGGGTATTTTTCCCTATTTTTCCTTATTAAATAGGGTTGCGGGTATCACTTATCCAACAACCTTCAGATGGATGGGATGATGAGGAGGAAGGAGCCTGAGGAGGTCTCCGGTTTGATCCCTCTCAGGCGCATTATTTTTTTTGAAGAGCTCGTGGATTTGAGGTGTCTTCGGCCTGGGCTGAGACGAGAGTGACCGTGAGCCGGTTTCTGAAGAGTAATAATAGAATTTTGGGCCAAATTTGTGGGTAGTCCTGGGCCAGCCTGGACTACTCACTGAGTCCGCCACTGCTTTTGTCTATGCGTCATTGGGTACATTGTGTGAGCTTTAGGCTTCCAGTCACATGCATGCAGACTTCGCAGCATAAATTGTTCATAACCTCAATTATCGTAGTTGACTTGTGCAGTTGTGCTCTTTATATGTTATTCCAACCGCACTTTTAGTTTATGCAGATTTATTTGGTAATCTGGATCAATTAATTGTCTTAGCATACTTTAGTTCAGCGGTAACGTGATCCTGTTTAGTTATGCCTTTACTACTGTGTGGTTGGCTCTTGCCTGGTTGGCCATTTACTCATAAGCCCTATAGGGTAATGTATCTTCATTCCTAACCATTGTGTGGGCTCGAGGTAGATGGATACATGTTCGGCTGGCTGGAAAAACGGCTGGTGCTGATGCTGATACTGATTTGTTGTGAGAGAAAAATACTGTTATTTCGCTAAAACGGTACGACTGATAAGTTCAAGCGAACATGGCCAAACCTACTATTTTGTGTCATCAGGTGGTTCTCCCATGCCCCCTCCTACGTATGGTGCTGTGCGAACCAGGTGGTAACGTGACACCTTTATTTCTTTTGTAATATAAACATCGGCATGTGGCTGTGGACTGTTGTGATTGTGACACAACTGATACGATGATAATGTGATGTGCAATATAGTACAATGGTCAGTGATGACATACTGAGTTTTCTGGGATCCTCTTATGTGAGGTTGTGGTGATTATTGTATCCCTTGTTTGTGCTTTCAGTCTGCTAGAATGGTTAATTACGACAACTTATTCTGCCTTTTTGTCACATTTTGGTCAATGTGCAGTGCCGCTCTTGGTACTGAGCAATGCTAACATATATCTCGTATTCGCATGTCATTTTTTGTTTCTCTGCCGCCCAGAGATAGGTTCGGACGTTCAGTTGCCTTTGTTTTCAATGTGATTGTATTCGTACCTTCAGGACTCGTATTCGCATGCTTCATTCTATATACTGCTGGTACAGTGCATGCTACATTAGACAATTTCTGTCTAAGCTTGTTCTGATACAGTTGCTGTCAATCGCCTTCCATTTTGCTACTCTAGACTAGAACGGCAAATGTACGTACGTGACGTGGGGCCGTTTGGTTCGGAAGGCAGCTTGCAGGCAGCTCCGCTCCTCCTATAGACCTAGACACATCCATCTCTCACCCAGCCAGGAGCTCGAAATGAACACCTGGGATCGATGCCTGGCGAGGCAAGTCTGCCTGGGGAGCAATCCAAACAGGCCCAGAATATGGATGAGAAATAGAAGATGGTGAACATTAGTAATTAACGATCGAGCTCTGATTTCTGGACAACAAACATAACATGGCACGGTTCAGACGTCCAGTACTTGGATTCCTTGCACGACCATGGATACGCATACGCCCATATGCAGGCTGCCAATCCTGAAAAGTAAAGGTAGACTGCTTGAGGTCGGGCGAGCGAACCGGTTTCTCTACCAAACGAGCTAGTCGCTCCAGTCATCATCAAAGTACATACTCCGTACGTTTGAGTATGAGCCGTGCAAACGTTTTAGAAGTCATGACTCATGAACATGGGACACACATCTCAAATCTACCAAATGATTATGAATATTAACTTAATTCTCACGCTACATAAATTCGAAACGATTTATGGATAGCAAGAAGTCTCAGCTTGCGTTGCATAGTACATAGCACCTACAAAAATATGTGTATAGATACTGGTTGACTTAATTGGGTTTAAGGAAGAAAAAAAAACAGGAGTACCATGGCGTGGTGCCACGTCTTCTGACCTCAAACCAAGAACATGGTCGGAACTTCAGCTGCACGTTCAGAAAAAATGGCATTAGGTAGGAGTAGTATTCAAAGTCAGACATTCTCAGAACACAGTGAGTTGGGTTGAATTATTGTGCCTGCTTGCTAATGGAGTCTCTTGATACTGTCTTATTACTGCGGATTCGAACGTGCGTGCCTGGTGGGCGACGGGGAACAACAACTTGGTCGCTGACACGGATGACCCCAGTCCATTTCGCACATTCCCCGAGACGTGCATCGCTCAAACTCCGGCAGAGGGAGGCTCCCTCGTCCCGCCCGACGAGACGACCCCCCTATCGTCGTCCCACCCGACGTGCCTGGCACCACGACCACGTACCGAACGTGCGTGCGTGCACTACCATGTCGCCGGTCGACCGCGGCCTCGATCCAAAGAACTCACGCGCATCGTATAAAACTCGTCCTCGCCGCGCCGGGCTCTCCAGCCACTGCCGACGACGACGGCGTTATTACCTTGAGGTCGAGCCAGCATGGCGCGGTTGACGACGATGGCTACCAAGACGCCGGACACCTTGGCGGTAGCCGCGTCGTTCCTCCTCCTGGCCGCCGCGGCGGCGTCCGCCTCGTCGGCGCCGTTCGACTACGCCGGCGCGTTTGACAAGTGCCTGCAGTTCTTCGAGGCGCAGCGGTCCGGGAAGCTCCCAGCCGACCGCCGCGTCCACTGGCGCGGCGACTCCGCACTCAAAGATGGCTACCTCCAGGGGGTACGTACTTCCGATCCGATTCGTTCTATCTCTCTCGCCGGCGGGCCGCCGATCCGTATGTGCATGCGTGGATCGTCCATAATCGTCGGAGCTGATGATGACGAGGACCCGTCGTTGCGTTGCGTTGCTTTGCATGCATGCGCAGGTGGACTTGGTGGGCGGGTACTACGACTCCGGCGACCACGTCAAGTTCGGGTTCCCCATGGCGTACGCGGTGACGATGCTGGCGTGGGGGGTGCTCGAGTTCGAGAAGGAGATGATGGCCGCCAACAACCACCAGCGCGCGCTGGACGCCATCCGCTGGGGCACCAACTACTTCGTCAAGGCCCACACCGAGCCCAACGTCCTCTGGGTCCAGGTACGCACATCACAGGCCCAGCGGAGATTCCCGGCCCACCAGGCCTGAAGAGCTCAAACGGTGCTGATCTGCGCAGGTGGGCGACGGGGACAGCGACCACCTCTGCTGGGAGCGCGCCGAGGACATGTCCACGCCGCGGACGGCGTTCAAGATCGACACCAACCACGCGGGGTCCGAGGTCGCCGCCGAGACGGCCGCCGCGCTGGCCGCCGCGTCCAAGGCCTTCCGCCCGTACGACTCCATGTACGCCGACCTCCTGCTGCTGCACGCAAAGCAGGTAAGTCTGCCGGAATGCGTCCGTTATACACTACTGAATTTTCAGAGTGACGCGATTCAGAGTACTGAATTTTCAGTTCGTTCCACTGAAATCTTCTGTTGTTTGACATGGACAGCTCTTCACGTTTGCCGACACGTTCAGAGGCAGGTACGATGACTCCCTGCTGAGCGCCAAGAAGTTCTATCCTTCGGGTTCTGGCTACGAGGTAGGATTAGGAGTAGTAACAAACAATGCGATCGAACAATTACATTCTTCTGAATCTGATAAACAGCTCATGAAGCGATGAATGAATTGTTCAGGACGAGCTGCTCTGGGCGGCGGCGTGGCTACACGAGGCGACCGGCGACGAGAAGTACCTGCAGTACGTGTCCCAGAACGCGGAGGACTTCGGCGGGATCGGCATGTCCATGCTCGAGTTCTCCTGGGACAACAAGTACGCCGGCCTGCAGGTGCTCCTCTCCAAGGCGGTCCTCGCCGGCGGCGGGGGCGGCGAGTACGCCGACACGCTGAGGCAGTACCAGGCGAAGGCGGAGTTCTTCCTGTGCGCGTGCCTGCAGAAGAACGGCGGGCACAACATGAAGCTCACCCCGGGTGGGCTCCTGCACGTGGACGAGTGGAACAACATGCAGTACGTCAGCTCCGCCACCTTCCTGCTCACCGTCTACGCGGACTACCTCGTGGCGTCGCACGGCGCGCTCAGGTGCCCCGACGGCGAGGTGAATCCCGGCGAGATGGTCTGGTTCGCGCGGTCCCAGGCAGACTACGTCCTCGGGAAGAACCCCAGGGGCATGAGCTACATGGTCGGCTACGGCAGCTACTTCCCGACGCACGTGCACCACCGCGGCGCCTCCATTCCGTCCGTCTACGCCATGGAGTCCGTGGTCGGGTGCATGGACGGCTTCGACAGGTACTTCAACAGCAAGGGTGCCGACCCCAACGTCCTCAACGGCGCCGTCGTCGGCGGGCCCGACGCCAACGACGGCTTCGTCGACGACCGCTGCAACTACCAGCAGGCCGAGCCCACCCTCGCCGGGAACGCGCCCATCTGCGGCGTCTTCGCCCGGCTCGCCTCCGGTAAACAACAACACCATTGAACACGTTCTCGTCGCACCGATCTATCGTCTGGTCGTCAGCTTACTGAACAATGGATGCCACCGTGATTGCAGATAACAGCCCGCCGGCGCCTTCTTACTCGCCGCCGCAGGATTCGTCGCCATCAAAGGGTAAGAACCGAAGTTCAATTGCAGCTGCGATCATACTAGGACGATGCAGGGTAGGTTCGAGCTGATGATGACATGGACTCTCCATTTCTGCAGGGTCTCCTCTGGAGTTCGTGCACACTGTGAGCAACTCGTGGACGACGAACGGGGTGGAGTACTACCGGCACGTGGTGACGGCGAAGAACACGTGCGGGCACCCCATCACGTACCTGAAGCTGCACGTCAAGGGCCTCTCGGGCCCCATCTACGGCGTGTTGGCCGCCAAGGAGAAGGACACGTACGAGCTCCCCGCGTGGGTCACCAGCCTCGCCGCCGGCGAGCAGCTCACCATCGTGTACATCCAGGGCGGCCCCGCGGCCAAGTTCTCCCTGGTCAGCTACAAGACTGCTTGAGGCCAAATGCTGCATGCTCGCCGGCCCGACCGCGCCCGGTGGTTTTTGTTTGCATCCATCCCCCATTTTCTTTTCTTTTCAGGCCTGTTTATGCTCGCTGCAATTCTTGTACTATATCTTTTTTTTTCTGTTCATGTGTGTGTCTGAATCTTCTTTCCATGAGATTGGAGACGATTAGGGTATAACATCGTGAGGCGCATTCAGTTCTATGTATCACAGCATGCTTTATTCTCCGCGTGATCGACTCAACCCACATATTCCATAGCAATTAGCAGGATGAACCTAGCTCATATGGTCCCTCAACTAAACACGTCTAAAATTAAAATAGCTTCGGCCCAATCCAACCAGTTGATCCCACGAACCAAACAGTAGTACAGTACCATAAGCAATTAGTATCAACTAGGAGTACTCCGTATGCATAATGCAAGGGGGTTGTGAAATAGGTACGGCAAAGGCTAGCGTCCGGACATCTACACGGGGCTAGCGTCCGGATGCCCGCGCCACACACCTGCCTTCACGTGAGGTCCTGCACACGCTCCGTGTCGTGTGCCCACTCTGTGTCCCGCGCACACTCCGTGTCCCACGCCCGTTTCTGTCTCGATCTGCGCCCGCATGGTTTTCTGCGCCTGATGCTCGTGCCCCACGCGCATGCAGGCGGGGCCAGACCAGATCTACCTTTGCAATATCTAGAGGAAACATTGCAACATACGTCCGAATCAGTTGAAACACTTACAACATACGTCTGAAACACGAGAGAAACACGTGTCTAGCCATTGCAAAACATATGCAACATCTAGATGAAATAATTGCAACATATGTGTGAAAGTATATGCAACATCTGGATGAAACACTTGCAACATAAAGACATATACAACACCCAGATAAAACACGTGCAACATCCGTCTGAAACAGCTGAAACATTTGGAACAGACGCTTGCAACATACGTGTATAGCCATTGCAACATATGCAACATCCCGATCTACTTTTACAACATGCATATGAAACACCTGAAACACTTGAAACATATGCTTGCAACACACGCTTGCAACATCCGAGGAAGGAAGGGACCGCGAGGTGCAGCCGGAGAAGCGCGCTCCGGGTCTGGGCACTGCAGATCTTATGATGTCACGAGCTGAGGTCGAGTGTCGTGGGGGCGCCGGCGTCGACAGCGGCCACGACCTCTTGGTGAGGAACGGCGGCGTCGACAGCACCTCGACGTGGCGAGGGACGGGGTATGACGCGCAGGGCAGGGACCGGGCTCGGCGCGACGAGGCGGAGTGGGCGTGGCGGGGGATGGAGCACGGCGCGGCGACAGATGTGGCGCGACTCGACGCGGGATGGGGGCGCCGCCGCGAGGCGGCTTAGGGCAGGTGGGCGGCGTGGTGAGCCATGACGAGCGAAACGAGGAGTTGAGGATTTATGTTGGCTGTCGCAGTGTAGATGGAGTAGACAGAGGAAAGAGCACATATGGGTCTGTTGGGCCGGTCGTTATGCTAGACGGTGCTGCCACCTAAATCAACCATAAAAACAACAATTTATTTGTTCTAGCCTATCAACATTGTGAGATCAATAAAAACCGGAAAAAACTTGTTAAGGAATCTTGTTATGCTTGTTAAGAAGAAATCGCATTATTGACCAAGTGCACCATAATTTACTTGTTAAGAAATCTTGTTTTGCCTGTGCTGGTACTCGCTACCAACAATTTGTTGGTGCCTCATCCACATAGTTTTTGTGCATAATCCATACCCTCACAAAAAAATCCATATAATTATTGTCTACTATCCAATCTAAATTGTCAAATTTCTCTATTTTTTCCAAATGACATTGCAAATTAGATACTCATAGTTGGTGTTCACTTTGCACACATTTAACTATTTAACTATATAGTTTATTTGCAATTCATTATTCATTTAAATTGGAAATTTTCACTACTAAAATAATACAAAAATATACCAGCACAATAACACGAGCTGCCAATGCCGAAAAGCTAAAGGAAAGGTCATTGTGACTATGTATAAAATTATTATATAGGATATGCTATTTAGTGATGTCCATACTATATGTGGGCATTGCTTCTGACGTCCATTGGTTTTGAAAAGGTTACACTTTGAAAACATTGCAGTGCAGAATAAAGACAAACAAGGAAATCTTTTTTTTTTGTTCTTCTAAAATTTTGTTCTTATGGCCCCAATAGATGGTAGTCTCAAAGTAGATAGTACCTCAAAGGGTAAAACATTTTATCTCATTTTAAACTTAGGAACTTTTCATCTTTAGAACAATTCGGACATATTTGGTAGAGCTCTTTCTGTTTCAGATTCTTTGTGAAAGTTTTTCTCTGACTAAAGATGTTTCCTCTATGATTTTTTAAGGTAAATTCTATGCATACAATGACTCGTGCGTGGAGTAAATTAGGAGAAACTATTTTTCCAGCTCCTAGCCTCCTAATTCATTTCAAAGAATCTCTTCGCATAATCATCATAGAATCATTTCTTAATAGAAAAAATATATTTGGGAGAGGTTCTCCTGGATTCATCTTAGAAGTTGTTTTAGAAGCTCTGCCAAACAGACTCTTACAATATACTTATATACTAGAACATAATAACTTTGACTACTGCTCCCTCTATCCCAAATTATGTCATCCCAAGAATCTTGAGAGTCAAAGCATTTCAAGTTTGACCAAATTTATATAATAAGATAATAATATTTATGATGCCAACTACATATCATTAGATTTTTCATCAATTATATTTTCATAGTATACCTATTTGATGTCAAAAGTCTTTATAATTCTCTCTACAATTTTGATCAAACTTGAGATCCTTTGACTCTCCAAGATTCTCGAAATAACTTAGAACGGAAGGAGTACAATAATACAAAAGATACCGTGGAATAATCAAAACCCATGCTTTCACTCTCTATAGTGAAGTGGCAGTGCTCCAACCTCCAATTCACGCTGCATCATGGGACGGGAAAAAATATACGACGAAAACCACAGCACCTTCGGTGAAAAAAGTAAAACTAAATTTAAAATTATAAACTCTAAGAATTTCGAAACTTGGCACATATATAGTGTATACGTATATGGAATCACATACAAGAGTTGGTATGCAAAATCATTTCTTAAAAATACAAAAATGAAAAAAAAATCATATACATGTATAGTCAAGGACAAAAATTCAAAAAAATTATCCCGTAGTGCACATACAAGCGAAATAGAGTACGGTTTGTTCGATGGGTTCGATGCAGAGTTTCTTTTGTGACGCCATGACAGCCGGGGAGGTTAGAGTCGTTTTAGGATAATAACAGCACAGCAGTAGCTGACCAAGAGGCCAACGAGTCACAAAAGAATCTAGAATCTACAGCCGGCTTATCACATGCTGTGCTGTTATTATCCTAAAACGACTTTCACATGCTGCTCCCCTTTGGATGAAAAAAGAAAAAAACATGCTGCTCTGACCGAATCAGCTCAGAAAATCCATCGGCCAGGCGAGACAAACAGTCTGTTCGCTGAACCCGGTTGCTGCTGGTTTATTGTGAGAGAAAAATACTATAACATGGCTGATAAGTTCTGGCTGAAACCAAAAATTAATAAAATAAAGAAATCCATTTTTTTAATTTTTTGAACAGACTGAAAATGGTATCGCATTTTTCAATCCCCGTCATAGATTAGCATCTTCTGACTGACTACTGAGTACTGACTGACCGACCTCGCTTGTCTCTCGAATCCAGATTACTCTTCCACCTGCACCGCTGCACTCGATCTTGGCCGTCGGTTCCCCATCGTGCAGCCGGGTTTGCAGGAGAAGCCGCCTCAAGGCAGCCAACCCCCTGCCTCTGCCTCTCATCAGTCGTCATACAAGAACCCCTGCCTCCGTGTCTTGCTCCGCCTCCGCCTCCGCCTCCGCCTCGGCGTTCAACGTGCAACCACCACTGCGCGAGCTGGATCGGTGAGGAGGCCGTCTCCGCGCACTCAACAGCCAGGCCTGCCCCCGGCGCCGGCCAGCGACCAACGCGAGCGGGCGGCATGGACAGGCTCGGCGCGAACCCGGCCAACTCCTGCCCACTCACGCCGCTGGGCTTCCTGGAGCGCACCGCCACCGTGTTCGGCGACTGTCCCTCCGTCGTCTACCACGACACCGTCTACACCTGGTCCCAGACGCACCGGCGCTGCCGCCGCCTCGCCTCCGCGCTCGTCTCCCTTGGCGTCTCCCGCGGCGACATCGTAAGCCGCCCGTTCCCTTCCCTCGCTCAATAATTCCCGCGGATGGGCTCCCATCCCATCTGCTGTGGCAAGTGGCAACTGATGACACCGCGCTCTGCTCTCTCGGCGAATCTATCGCTGGATTGGTTTCCGTCGACCGATGTAGGTGTCCGTGCTGCTGCCCAACGTGCCGGCCATGTACGAGATGCACTTCGGGGTGCCCATGAGCGGCGCCGTGCTCAACACCATCAACACGCGCCTGGACGCGCGCACGGTCGCCGTCCTGCTCCGCCACGCCGGCTCCAAGCTCGTCTTCGCCGACCCGGCGAGCCTGCCGCTCGTCCGGGACGCGCTGAGGCAGCTCCCGCCGGGGCACCGGGCGCCGCGCGTCATCCCCGTCGAGGACCCCCACGAGAAGGAGTTCCCCGCGGCGCCGCCCGGGACGCTGACGTACGAGGCGCTCCTCGACGGGGGCGACCCAGAGTTCGCGTGGGTGCGGCCGCGCAGCGAGTGGGACCCGATGATACTGAACTACACCTCCGGCACGACGTCGGCGCCCAAGGGCGTGGTGCACTGCCACCGCGGCATCTTCCTGGTCACCGTCGACACGCTGGTGGAATGGGCGGTGCCGAAACAGCCGACATACCTGTGGACGCTGCCCATGTTCCACGCCAACGGGTGGTGCTTCCCGTGGGGGATGGCGGCGGTGGGCGGCACCAACGTGTGCCTGCGCCGCGTCGACGCCGCCGAGGTGTACGCCACCATCGCGCGGCGCGGGGTGGACAACCTCTGCGGCGCGCCCGTCGTGCTCAACATGCTGGCCAACGCCCCGGACGCCGCGCGGCGGCCGCTCCCGGGGAAGGTACGCACCCTCACCGCCGGCGCGCCGCCGCCAGCCGCCGTGCTGCACCGCACCGAGTCCATCGGCTTCGAGGTCACCCACGGGTACGGGCTGACGGAGACGGCGGGGCTGGTGGTGAGCTGCGCGTGGAAGGGGGAGTGGAACAAGCTGCCCGCGTCGGAGCGCGCGCGGCTCAAGGCGCGGCAGGGCGTGCGCACGCCCGGCATGACCGAGGTCGACATCGTCGACGGCGAGACCGGCCGCAGCGTGCCCCGCGACGGGTCCACGATGGGCGAGATCGTGCTCCGCGGCGGGTGCGTCATGCTCGGCTACCTCAACGACGACACGGCCACCAGGGCGGCGATACGGGACAACGGGTGGTTCTACACTGGGGACGTCGGCGTGATGCACCCGGACGGGTACATGGAGATCCGGGACCGGTCCAAGGACGTGATCATCAGCGGCGGGGAGAACATCAGCAGCGTGGAGGTCGAGTCCGTGCTCTACAACCACCCCGCGGTGAACGAGGCGGCGGTGGTGGCGCGGCCCGACGAGTTCTGGGGCGAGACGCCGTGCGCGTTCGTGAGCCTCAAGGAGGAGGGGTCGGGGTCGCCGGGCGCGGTGACCGCGGCGGATGTCATCGCGTGGTGCCGGGACCGCATGCCGCACTACATGGTGCCCAAGACGGTGGTGCTCCGCGCCGATCTGCCCAAGACCTCCACCGGGAAGATCCAGAAGTACGTGCTCCGGAACCTTGCCAAGGAGATGGGGCCAACCCGCAAGAGCGCCAGCAGCAGCAGCGGCACAGGCAAAGCCCCCTTACCGATTCTTGGAAAGGATTTAGGATAGTGATACTACCGGTACAGCAGATTTGTCTCCATTTCAGCCCCTGGCACGGCTCATCAAAACAGCTTCACCGGTGAAGCCAAAGCCGGTGAAGCCAGAAAACTGGCTTTTTCTGACTTGTAGTTCATTTTAATCCCGGCTTAAAAAACAGCTTCACACTACAATGTCTCAATTTACGCAAAATAGATGAAACCGAAGCCGGCATAAGCCGTGCCAAAGAGGCCCTTCATCTTCTGGTGGTCATTGATACGATGTGAAGCTTATCCGAGTTCAATGTATGAGTATTATGATACTAAAATGACCAACAGCTCTTTTGGCTATATAGTTGAAAGATTGGGTCTATGCCCTAATAAAACTCTAAAAATTCAGTACTTCTGTGTCACTATGTGTGTCTTTATGGAGACGAAAGAAAACCCAGATTGTACTATTGAAGTTTAGATTTTATTTTGGATTGAGTTTATATGATGGTAACAGCTCAAAACCCACAATTATAAAAATGGAACATTCAAAAGTCCTCCTCAGATCTTTATCTAAAAAAAAGTCCTCCTCAGATTTTTGAAATATTGTTTGTCTCTTAATTAATGTCTGTTCTTGATATATTTATTTACTCGTACTTTATTTTTGAATGGAAATCTCCGTCAGGAATTTTTTGACCCAAAGATGCAAAAACCAAATTAGCACACTTGGGCCTGTGTCCTTTCTGCTTGTCCTGGGCAGGAAAAACTCATGCAGTCTATCGTTGTCAGTAGAAATGCTCAACTCCAGATGTACGTACTGTAACATGCAGAGCATACCAAAAAAAAGTAAATGCTAGGAGTAGGGAGAAATTATAATACTGCTCCCTCCAGTCATGTTCATAAGACATGCACAAGATTTAAACTTTATAATATCTAACTAATAATTTGGCCTATAATACTTAGGTCTATTTGATCTCGTAGTCTAAATTTTGGACCACTTTAGTTCTTGAGGTTTCAAACAAGTGATCTAAATTTCTGTCTAAAGTTTAGACAGTCTCACAAAAGGACATTAGTTCATTAGACCACAAAAGAGCTAAAGTAATCTAAAGTTTAGCCCTTAACTTTAACCAAAACTATAAACCATGATATCCAAACATGATCTAAAACTTTTGACTTATCTATATTGACAAAATAATTGTAAGAACTCAATTTTTATAATAAAGCAATACTATACGTATATAATTCTAAGTGTGGGTGGTTAGTGCAGACCAAAGGTGGATATGACATTCGTGGTCCTTGAGATTCATTTTGTATAAAAATTGATTTTAAGACTTAAATATTAATATCCTTTTGAGAAAAGTGAGTTGTTTTGTTACGGAGCAGCCAAGGTTTGTGAACAAGAGTATACACAATTGTTCGGATGCAAGTTAGGAGGCCTTCCATTTAGGTATCTATGAATACCTATGCATCATAAGAAATTATCAAAAAAGGATTGAGTATTCACCGAGTAGAAATTTCAGAAAGAAAAAAACTATGTAGTTGGAAAGAAAGTTGTTGTCGGTTGGAGGGAGACTTGTCTTAATTAACTCGGTGCTAACAAGTTTAGCCATGTTTATATTATTTTTTCCGATGTTATCGGGTATCGTTATTAGGAATAACCAAAGTAAGGAGGTTAGCGCCCACGCTGACTTCCCCGGATGGCTCGAGACGTATTAAAATGTCTCGACCGACCCTAAGGCCGCGGGGCTCCATCTCGCCCGACCCCTTGGGTTCGTGTTCCGTCTCGCCCGATCCCAAGGACGCGGGTTCCGTCTCGTCCGACGGGGACTTATACCGCCGCCAACCATTCCAGGCCCAAGCGTATGGGCCTAGGTCAAAACTCTGACATCAAGAAAAGAGGCTGGCACGTCTCGATGTAACCCGTGGCCATGACGGGCCATACCTGGCGATTCACATCAAGAACAGTGTCGGACGTGCCGGTACTGTTCTGCCTAATCCTCGTACGGACGCTGACAGGCGCGTTAGTTCACTACGACGTCCGCCGGGATAGAGTGGAACGCCATGACCGGCAGATGACGCCTATGCATGGCGCCAGTGACGAACAGGGCCGCGACGTGGAGCCGTCCCTATTGACATCTACAGGATCGGCGGGACCCGCATGAAGGAGAAGAAAGACCCGGCAATCCTGGAAGCCTTCTTCTCTCTCTTCTCTCTCTCGTTCTTCTCCATTTCCTCCGCTGTAACCCGCGCTTTCCCTTCGCCTATAAAAAGGGAAGCAGGGCGCCCATGAAAGGGGGCCGGACCACGAGATAAAAATACAAGAGTATGGCACGAGCACACGGCTGAGCGGCAATCGAGCTCTCAGCACCCGTTCACTCCTTCCACTAGAGACTTGGATCATTTCTCTCTCTCGCCTGTTTGTAACCCCTACTGCAAATCAAGTGCCGGTAACACGAGCAGCAACGAACTAGACGTAGGGACGTTCCGCGCCGAACCAGTATAAACCCTTGTGTCATTCGAGCACACCATCCGAGCCAGACGCGCAAATACAAATTTACTCGTTGGTGGTTCGAAAACACCGACAGAGGTCCCCAGAGGAATCCTTCAGAAATTAGATTACTATCGCTCGCGTTTCTTCCGGCAACGTGACCAGCACAAAAAGAAATATCCCCTTGCTAGATGGGGTGTTCTTTGTAATATCCTTTTGGGATTAGCGTCATTAACCATCCTAGATCTCACTTTAAACTCTATTGTTGGTTTTGAGCGACATGGTTTAGGTTTAAATGACTATTTATGCCATCGCAATGCTTAAGACTGCAGTCTATGACATAAAATCATTAGTTTTGATAAATACAAAAGGAGATTTAATAAAAGATGCAATTAGCACAAGAGTTTTAACTAACTTAAGGATATAAAAAGAAATGTAGTAATTAATGAGGACAAAATTTGGAAATTAAAATATATATTAATGACATTATGAGACATGGGTTGTAGAAATAGTCATCATAACTGAAGCTAAGGTTAATTCGCAAAACAAAAAAAAAAAAAACTGAAGCTAAGCTTTCAACTATAAATATATATTGAAGATATACGAAGGTGCCATGCACAAAGAGAAAAGAAAAACAGTCAGTTAGTCACAAAATCCCCAAGCCGATAGGTCGAGGAACAGGGCTGCTGTTCGGCTGATGTTTTTGCGGCTGATAAGCCGGCTGATGCTGTTTTGTTGTGAGAGAAAAACATTGTACCATGATTGATAAGTTAAAGCGAATAGGTCGTTGCAGAAGTTTTTTTACACTAGGTCGAGGGTCGATGCCATTGACTCTGTTTTTCGACTATAAAAGAACTATGAATATGAATATGGATGGAAAATAATATATATCAATGCTTGATAAGTTTATCATAACCGCATAGAGATTATAGTGTCTAATTTATTTTTATTAGTTATAGTTATTAAACGAAAACATTTGATGCTTATGTTTATGTCTGCTAAGATTGCAGCCAGTACGGGAGGACAGATTAATGGACCAGTACGCAAATCCAACTGCATCGATTAAAGATGATACTGACTTAATGAGAACCTTGGGAAAGATAAGAGAAAAAGCCAATGGGGGTGTTTGGCTGGAGAAATTTGGAGGAATTTGAATGGTTTGGGGGAACTCTGGAGGAATTTGTGAGAGAAAAACACTGCTTTCGGATGAAAAAAGAAACAGATCGAGCCGAATTTAAGGACACGCGAACGGGGCCAATAGCAGCAAATGCATTAGCAGGTTCAGACTTCAGACGTCCTATTCACCTTCATACCAGATAAGGCACCACTATGGAATGATCTTCTTTGATGTACTACTCTAAACAATTAAGCCATCAGCAATAGTACAAAACCGTCTTTAAGGGGTGTTTGGTTCCACCTTCTGTGCCCTGTTTGCTTGGCTGATAAGCCATGACTGAAAGTATTGTTAGCTGATTTTGTTGTGAGAGAAAAATACTGTTCGTTGGCTGAAAAAGTACGGCTCATAAGCCAAGCAAACAGGGCTAAACTTTAGTCATCGTCTCATCGGATGTTGGACACATGCATGGAGTATTAAATATAAACTATTTACGGAACTAGATGCACAGATTGAAACTGTTTTGCGAGACGAATTTTTTAAGCCTAATTAGTCTATGATTTGACAAGGTGATGCTACAGTAATCATGTGCTAATGACGGATTAATTAGGCTTAATAAATTCGTTTCGTGAATTACTAACGAATTGTGTAATTTGATTTTTATTAGCATCCGAACACTCCATACGACATTTTCACGTGACACCTTCTAAACTTTAGTCATTATCCAAACACCCTCGTAATTGAACCAGCTCAGCCCATGTCATAGTTATCGAAAAAGTAGAAAACAATCAAAAGGACAAGCTGCACAAGTGATAGAAGCATGTGAACTGAAAGAACAAGTGATATTTCAAAGGCAGGTCATGAGGCTGATATATTCTCATCTCTGTGATTCGGTCTCTGTGAATAAAACAAGTTACAAGTGAGAGAAATAAACCCTCTCTACACAAAACATCATCGCTTTCGCTTCTTCAACTCGTGCTTCTTTCCAATTACCTCCACCCTCTGTTAAAGATTGTATCCTCCAGTATTGCATGTTACAAGTTTATATAAAAATCACACACATATTGTACAACATTGTACAAGTGTCTCGATGAGACAGACGAGTTCCAAGCTCGTTATTGTTTGAACGCTGGAACCGACCGACCTATCTGGCAAATCAATTTACCTGTCAATCCCCTCAATCTTGTCTTCAACCTCCGAGTAGAGCTCCCGGAGCCTGTCCAGGTTCTCCTCCGATGTCTCCCAGTAGCCTCTGCCACTGGCTTCCAGGAAGGTCTGCACCAGCTTCCTAAACGAATTGGGGTTGGTCTCCATGAGCCTCTTCCTCATCGCCTCGTCTTCGATGAACGTGGAGTTGGCCTCCTCGTAGACCCAGTTGTCGACCTGCCCAGACGTCGCGCTCCACCCAACGGTGTTGGTGAGCCGCTTCTCGATCTCCCTGACC